TTTATATACTAAGGTAATTACTAAGTTATTATTAAGTATTACTAAAGTATTATTTATTAAGTATTTACTTAATATATTAATATTACTTTTAGTATTAAAAATAATAATCCTTAACTTTTATATTTTTTTTATTTATATTTACGCTTTTTTTTTTATTATAGAAAATATAGTAAATAGTAGCTTAAATAAGTAAGCCTTACCTTCCTAAGCCCTTTTTAAAATAATTAATTTAAGGTTTAGGCCTTATACTAGGTTAGCTAAAATACTTACTTAGGGATTATTATAATACTTTATAATATATCTTTTATTTTTATAATATAAATAATCTAGCTTTTTATAACTTATAAAATAATACCTAGGAGTTTTATATTTATAATATATAATTTTTAATAAAAGTCTATACTTTTCCTACTTTAAAATAACTAAAGGGTTATTAGCTAAAATATTATTTTTTATTTAGCCTAAGGGTTATTTTAGTATAGTTAAAACTTCCCTTTTTTTATATAGGGTATAAAAGGTATATTTACTTTTTTTAAAATAAGTAAAGTTTTCTTTTTCTTATTTATCCCCTTTACTAAGGCTATTAATAATTAATTCTACCTTAAAATATTTTTTATAAAAATCTTATTATATAATAAAAAGTTTTTTATAAAGAATATATTTTTTTATTTTTAAAAGTATTTTTTAAAAGAAAATTAAAATTTTATAGCTATTATTTATATAATATAAAACCTTATTATTAGCTTTCTTAAATTATTTAATAAACTTCTTTATAATCTTACCCTTCTCTTAATATATAGTATTTAATACTTTTCCTTTATTAATAATATAAGATTAAATATCTTTAACTTAGTCTTTATACTACTTTAGGTATTATATATAAGTAATATTATTATAATTCTATTAAAGTTCTTTTTTAAAATAATTAATTTAGTATTATTAAGCTTTTTTTTTAAAATAAAGGCTTATTATAAAAACCTTATATACTTTATTAATAATTTTTTTAAATATAAATAAAATATTAAGTTTAAAAATATAATTTTAGTATTCTCCCTAAGTTTTTTTTTTAAATATAAGCTTTAGAAAATATAATTTTTAATCCTTTATATAATTTATTAGCTTTTTTATAAGCTTTTCCTAGGGAGTTATAATAAGTAATTTAAAAAAGGGCCCTTTTTATAAAAGGAGCGCTTTAAATTCTTTATTTTAAAAATTAATAAAATTTATTAAATATTAAGTAAGCTTTTTTTTCTAATTTTCCCTTATAATAAAAACTATAAAATTAAATAGCTTATCCTTAGTTAAGAAAATATATTATTCCTTAAAGGGGGCTAGGGGATTTAAAGTAATAAATTAAGGGTTATATTATATATTAAAAATTAAGGTATTAGTTTAAAAAGTAAATTTTTCCTTAAGGGGTATTATATAAAGTATAAAGCTTTACTATATACTTTTAAAATATAACTAGCTTTTTACCTATTTCTAAATAATAGCTTTTATTATTCTTACTTTAATAATCTCTTACTTTTTAAAAAGAGATAAACTTATTAAAGACAGCAGTATATAAGAGAGTAATAAAGTTAAGGAGAGGTTTTAGTTATTATAAAGGGATAAAGTAGCTAGGAGGTATATAATAACTATATTTATCTCTAACCTTTTTTAAAAATAAAGGGATTTATACTTCTTTATATAGTAAATCCTAGCTATAACTAGCTTTTAAGCAGCAACTTCGGCAGTATTCGCTAGCTCTATGGCTTTATTATGCCTCTTCCTTCCTTGGACCCCTGACATTTGGGTGGAGTTGGATATTACTTGGTCGCTTATGAAGCTACCTCACCCTTGATTGTTCGGGCGAAATAGTTGCTAGGTTGATAATAAGTGTTTGAGCAGTGGTGACTGATCCCCTCTTTTTGTGACGCTTGGTTTGAGTCACTTCGGAGTGTTTTGCTATAATTGTCTAGACCATCGGCGCCGCTCACGTGCATAACATCTCCTTGTTCTTGTGCCAGTAGCTATAGACAATGGTATTGACCGCGTCAGAAACCTCTAATGTGTTTTTAAAATAACCCATTCTCGCATAGCCAGCGAGGGCGAGATTCTCCCTTTCTCTTAGTAATGTGAATTTAACTGACATTCCACTTTGTAATTATGGATAGTTCAAACAGCAGGCCATCTGGGAAAGGCAAGGATGGCGCCGACAAGACCACGCGAAGTCGCAGAGAGACGATTCCAGAGAGGAGGCTACGTGTTATGGGTACAACATCACTGAAATTCTCTTCAACTGCGGATCCAGGTAGACGACAATTGCGAATATCATACAGTGCCCTTTCCTCTGCAGCTGACCGGAGCCCTGGTCAAGTCAATCCTGCAGAAACTGAGCCCAATAAACGGAGACGCCAAGTTCTCAAAGCCCAACGGTGATTAGCACTTCTCCTTTTGTCCATACTCTCCGCTTGCTTCACGCGAGGGAGATCGTGATCCAGGGTCAATGCTGATTCATCATGCAGTGCCCATCGCCAGAGAACGCTGGACTACATAGACGAGCTGGAAGCCGAGATCTTCCGACTAAGAGCCTCAGCTGCGACAACGTCTGACGAGTCAAGGCATCCGCGACGCGTCCCATCATCGTCACAAAGCTCTCTTCAAACTATCAATAATATCAACATCAATGTCCTCATTCAGAGCTTCAACGGGCAGATTGCGCCTGGCATCTTCTCAAGCAGCTATCCGAGCACTACAGACCCCTGCATCGTAGAAGACTTGTTAGCAAGTGATGCTTTTGGTGAGTGTTGGTACTCTTGACTGAGTCTTTTCCATGCTATTTGTTTAAAAATTCGTTAACTAATTTTGTGGATAAAAAAGGATTGGGGTCAACCACAATACCACAGAGCCTCGAGCTGTTTGATCCTTTAAGCAGGATGCTTTTCTATAACTGTATGTGATTTCACCTCAAAGAAAATACTGAGGGTTTTTATTGACACCAAGATCAGTCTCAGAAAACATTGCCCCAACGCTTGTCTCGATGGATGGGCTCTCCAATGGGTATAGGACGATGGTACTTCCTCTCGCCTGCTCCAATGATCTAGTTCGGTCTGCGATATTAGCGGCATCAGCGAATCATCTTCGATTCCAGCGGCCTAAATTATCTCCCTTAGCTTCAAGGTTACAGTCTGCAGCTATCGAGAAGCTTTCTGTCTTTTCCAGGGACGAAACTGCCAACGGTGCCACTAGAAGTGCGGTTCTAGCTGCCATAATTCTCTTGTTGGTCACAGACATGATGAACGGAGGTCAACAGTTTTACCTTCTTCTCAACATGGCCAAATCGTGGATAGAAGCCAAAAAACACGACGGTTCACCAACAGTTAGTTCCCGGCCGGTAATAGAACAGTTTCTCCTCAACCAGCTTGAAATGTAAGAGACACCATTAGGGATTATTTCACTGTTTGTCCATTGACCTGTATGGATAGATTACAACTTTACGCAGAGCCACTGCTCAAAGAACAATATGCAATACTTGCACAGCATGACTCACAGACAATTTCGGACGACCACACATTTAAAGACAGAATTATTAGCATCTTCAAATCCATAGAAGAAGCTATCAAACAAGCATGTAACATTTACTCCTATCACATCTTGCACGATGCTCCTCCAGCGAATATTGAGGAAACATTGGACAATCTCAAAGTCACTGCTGATGGGATACCTGCTTACGCGCCTGGTGAAAATGCGCTGGCTTGGGTGTATTTCATCGCCGCAGCGGAAAGTTCCGTCCCTGCGAAACGCACTTTTTTCTCCAAAAAGCTGATGGGGATTTTTGAACGCGGAACATTTACTAATACAACGACCGCATTCGTCATGCTCCATCACATTTGGAATTGCCGAGAGATTGGCGATAACTGGACCAAGACTCTGAAACAGACACCTTCAGTACTAGTCTTGAAATGAGATGAGAGAAGAAAGGGAATGGAGGGAAAAAAGGAGCCTCCTCCCCCTCCCCAAGATGCATGCGGACTCATAACGTTGCTACATGCAACAAGAATTTAGCCCAAACAGTTATATATAGGGTAAGAACAATTACTCATGGCATGAGGACGTTGGCTTCCGAAACGGAGTCAAGGGCAGACAAGAGAAGCCCTCTTGATGCGCAGTTAATTAGGGACATTTCTGTTTTTGAGGAGGTGGAAATGAAATCTCTCCATAAGGATCATATCTCTTGGCGCCTATAATTTGCTCCCTTAATATGTAGAAAGCGTAAAAAAAAAACAATTGCCTGCAGATACTGAGCTGTGTAGATGACATGAAAGAGATGCTCAACTCCGCCGTTCATCCACTTTCAAATTTTCTCAGTAATTAAAATTGCCATTTTAAGCTACTTTGACTTGACTAAAGTAAGGGATTTTTCTTATATGTATGAAAAGACGGGAATACCAAGTAGCACTTCACAATGTACTGACTCATTTTAATTTCGATGAGTGAAAGTTCGTCGCCATCAGAGATCACCTAACAGATACATTAGCTAGGATTAAAGAGAAGAAAAAAGCGGATCTATATACTCCAGCCTTGTCCTAAACGAGCCATTTGATTCTATATCATCTTCTAGAGCTCTGTCGTCACTGCGGAGATCCCGACGCCATTTCGGACAAAGGTTACAGTAGCTACTAGAGATTCCACATTGTTCTTAGGAATTTGTTGCCATTTCAAGAGGCGTTACGGGTCCTTCGATTACAGTTCGGACGAAACAGTAAGTAGTGAGTGAATTGCAATAAGACTTTCTTTGACGTGCCACATTTGTTGGATATAAAAACGTCTCCAAGGAATTGGAGGGGAAACAATATCACTACACAATCCAGTGGCACATTAATCATATCATCAAGAGATATAAGACGAATACAAAAGCATTACAGTCACAAACGCTCGCAGTCAGCAAAACCAGCGGCAACATTGTACATCACACCAGACCGACGTCTCATAGCAAGTCAATATCAAGACAAGTCAAGATGCCTAACGTACTTGTTATTGGACCCACTGGCTATGTCGGCTCGGCTCTTAGCGAGCAGCTCATTCGCAGCGGTGATCATTACGTCTACGCCGCCTCTCAGAGCGAGGAGGAAGGATTCCGCCTTGCTACCAACGAAATTATCCCCCTCAAGGGAAGCCTTGTTTCGCCTCAAGCAGCGTTTGAACTCATTAACTCAAACAAAATCGATGTTGTTGTGGATACCACCAGCTATAACGACAAGACAACCAAGTCGAGGCTACTAAGCATCATTGTGGATGCTGAGAAGATAAAACGAGAACAGCTCTCCAAGGGCAAACACCACATTCAACCAAAACTAGGCTTTGTCACCGTGAGCGGAATATGGACTCAAGGATCAACAGAGGATCCTTACGGGAGCTTTCAGCAGATGACTGCGGAATCGCAATCAGCGGTACCTGAAGAGGGCCTTAACGAGTCAAAGCTTCTGTATGAACAAGAAGTTCTGGCGTCTAGGGCGATTCTTGACGTCGCTATCATTCAGCCGTCGTTTATTTGGGCTCGAGGAGGCGCCTCTTGGACTCGCATCCTGGGCCCTCTGGTTGAAGGAGCGCGCACAGGATTTACTGACGTGATGAAAATCGCCGTCGACCCTGAAGACCAGGTGTATTGCTTCACCAACATTGATGATGTAGCCGTTGCTATTGAGCTAGCAGTGAACAAACTGCAGCTGATTAATGGAAACAGCGTACATCCAGTTTTCGAGCTGGTAGGAGATCAGTTTGCTGTTGGCTTGCTGTGTGAGCGCGACGCTCATTATTTTGGATGCAAAGGAAAGGTAGAACTGCACAAGCCCGAGAAGACAGGCTTTTTGGACGTTATTGGCGGTAACCGCAACGCCAACAGAACCAGGGCCGAGCAAATTCTAGGGTGGTATCCTAAGAAGCGATACTTCTTGAGAGACACGTTTATCTACGCCAACTCATTCATGGCAGCTTTGGCACTCGCCAAACGCAAGTAGGTAGCAATAGCATGTTAGAACAGTATGAAAATAATAGAACTAGCTTTAGAACAGAACTAGTCATGATGAAAATTTCCGTTGTTCCCCTAATAATTGTGATATTTCAAATTGCTAAATTGGTTTGTGCAAGTACAGTAAGCTGTAGAGTCGGTAGTAGTCAACAAGTCGCTCAGAACTGGAATTCAAATAATGCTTGGATAGTGTACAAGATATGAACGTATGGATACAATGAAAGTGCTTTTGTCCTCCAATTCTGTTCACTTTATCCATTACCTTTTTCCGTAGATGAATCATTGCTAGCAGCCGTTGCACTTGCTTTATACACCCCACTGGAGGGGTTTGGCGGTTCAACTATTCCCAGTTGTTGCAGTGCAGTCAAAGCGCCCTCTTCTCCAAGCTCCTCCGTAATTTTCCCATCTTTTAACGTGAAGATGGTCGTTCCAGAAAAGTGAATCACCTTTCCAGTATTTGGAGTGTCGAGTCGACCAGCTGGCAAATCGTCGAATGCAACGCCCGTGTGCCTACCGCCACCGATCCAACGCGTTACAACATAATCCCTATCGGCAATCATAGGGATTGGCCCATATGGCCGAAATGTGACGTTGGGGAAAGCCTTGTCATTGGGGTCAAGCCATTAGATACGTAATATGAGTTCCATAGAACTTGAAATACTCACTTCCTTGAACTCAAGGAGCATTTTCTTCGCCTCAGTCTTTCCCTGGCGACGACCGTGCATAGGGTAGTTGGACACAAAGTCATCTGAACAGAGTTCGTCGACAATGTCCGGATTACATTTGCCCCAAAACTCTTCCGAATACTTGGCAACCACTTGCTTGTTCCTCTCTTGCACGGTTAGTTTATCAGAGGAAGACATGATTGCGATGAGAGGTTGCGGATACTGATGATACTGATAGAACTGATAGGAAGTGTTGCCTGCTCATATATACTAGCAAACCGCACATTGATGCAGAAGTGTGGAGCTCAAAGAGTCAACTTCGACTGATAACGGCTCGGTAATATCCAGGAAATGCTTCAAGTTTAACCCTCGACCAAAATGCCTTCTAAGTCAACCTGGCTCTACAGTTGCACCATCCCCACATCATTTTTGGCTGTTGATGACGATGTAGGGAGGGAGGGGTCAGCACCCCTATCACGGAGCATATTTCCCGTTATGGTATTAAACCGCATTCCTAGAGGCGCATGCTAAAATTCACACTATTTACTCCCAACGTGATTCTCTACTTATTGAACTCTAGTTAGGTAGTTAGCTAGCTTAGTGTTGGTCCGAGTTGTATGCAAATAGTCGTGTATTATCTGCAGTTTTTCTTGAATCCCCGAAAGGTCCTTTCGTTGAGAACTCCTGCTTCTTACTATTCCTCTCCTAGATAGCGAATCCGCTTACAGGCTTAACAACGTGCACCAAAACTGGCTTAGCATGAAGGTCTTCCGCTGCAGTAATCTTGTTGAACTCCTTTAGACTTTCTCCTTGTTGGTGAAGCCTCAGCGATTCCAAGTTCTTGAATCTGGGGTTATTTCGTCAGCACAACAACGCTTCAACTCTGTTTCTTTGCTGAACACAAGACGTACTTTTCGATAGTAAAAATCTCCTCATTGCCTGTTTCGGGATTGATATCAACGAAAAGCTGAAACTGGATGCATCCAGGTTCATTGTCTGCTCCATCTTTAATAATTGGTTGATAGAGCTCAATGATCTAAAATTTTGTTAGCATCTCAAAGCGATTGGCCAGCAACTAGCATCATCAACATTTGGCTTACTCTCTCTGTCTTGCCCGGCTTCGGATAAACAGTTGCCAGTATAACGCGAGTTGAGTCTTCACTCCTTTTGCCGTCGCTGCTGAGCGATAGCTTTGCAAAGCGGTCTTCCACGCTGGCTGACATTTTTGAGATTTTTTCTTAATCTTGACTGAAGCGTGATTGTGTGGCGTCAAATACCAGATGCGTAAAGTGTGAAGATATGCTGGTAAATGTCAAACCGCTGAATGGACCGTCAATGTAAATCGTCTTCAGCCTCACAGTATACTCATTAACCGTACGTCATGGGATATATAATACTCACATTCCTGTAAATCATTACTGGAAATATTCTAGCAAGTAAGTGGAGAATTTCGACCGACATTTACGGGGTCATAAGCTATTGTGAACGTGAATTTGGCTCCTATTGTTTCACGTTTCCATTGTACTGTTGTATGAAGTCCGGACAAATAGCGTGTAATCAATTCACAAATTTATAGCCAGGTATTTCCTAATCCAAACCCACATCAGTTTACATAAAGATTACTGATAGAAATTGGAAGCACGCTGGCGTTCATCTTCGTGGATCTAAAATATGATAATACGTGGGTGGATATATCCTAAAATGGCATTCTGTTTTGGAAACTTCGGTGCTATGAGTAATAGCGATGCGTCTCCGTCTCTTACCGAAGGTAAAATGACATATTTTTAATAGCGACTAGGGGTTATTATAGACTAGTAGGGGTTCTCTTTAGTGGCTCTTTGGCTAACATAGAGAGCAGACTACCAAAGCAATATGAGCCCAAGTGAAGAGAATTTTGGGCTCTATCAATGTTGTTAATAGTACGCATAATAACACAATCAAGACATATTTAATCCAATATCATAAAAAAAGATTAAAATTCAGGTGCCCTCTAAAACTTATATAAAAGGCAAGCCGGCTCAGGAAACAGAAAACAGTAGCAAACCGGAATCGATTAACATATTTCGCCTTGGAGCACCTCAATAAGCCACAGAAGAACCAAGAGGAATATTTCCACAATGAGGTCTCATTCGGCAATCGCCGCTGCGTTATTGGGCACTTGCTACAATGCTGTAGCTCTGGAATGGAGTGCAACATATGGACGTCAGCCAGCTCCGTTTAAGCTCTCAGTTAATCCGGAGATCATCGCATTGGCCCATCAGAAGGCCTATTTGACTCGCTTTTCTATCGATGTTGAGCAACCTGATTGGAGCGATGGACCTCCCGTGCATAATGCTACATCTGTCCGGGATTATTGGGTGAATGAGTATGATTGGCCTGAGGTCCAGAGGGAAATCAACTTGCAGTGAGCATTCATCCCACCCTTGTATGACATTATTATTGAAGCTGCCTATTGACCACGGCGTTTCAAGATTTAAAATGTTTACCACCACAGTTGACTCTAAACCGCACTCCAACTACGAAGAGCCGGTTCCTCTGCATTTTGTGCACCATCGTTCTAACCGCTCAGACGCCATTCCTCTACTATTTATTCACGGATGGCCAGGGTCGTTTCTTGAAGTTGCGAATCTATTGGAACCGTTGACAAATCCTCATGACGAATCGCTACCTGCCTTTCATGTCGTGGCTCCATCTATCCCTGGCTTCGGTTTCTCGCCCGCCCCGAAGAGACCACTTTTCGGACCTCGTGCTGCAGGTGAAGCTTTCAATAATCTGATGCTTCAGCTTCATTATCCGCATTACGTTATTCAAGGAGGAGACCTGGGAGGCTTTATCAACAGATTCATGGCCTCGTCCCACCCAGAAACAGTGCTTTCAGTTCTCAGCAACTTTTGGCTCGTGCAGCCTAATTCTACCGACTTTGAGCGTTATTATGCTGGAAAAACCACAAGTGACGAGAATTACCTTATCAACGAGTTCTGGAACTTTGAGAATAAGAGCAGCGGGTATCGTTTTGAACAGCAGACTCAACCTTTGCAGATTGGACATGCCATGACTGATAGTCCTGTTGGATTTGCCATGTATATATACGAATTCATGTTCCTGACGGTACAGCACTACGTGTGGAGTGCGAAAGAGCTTATTACTTGGTCGTTGATGTACTGGATTCAGGGACCATATGCTGGCTTCAGGTTCTACAAGGAGAGCGTCAATGTAAGGCAAAGTATCAGACGGAGTTCATCATGAACTAGAATAATCTGCTAACTTCATTCTAGGATAATATTCTTGAAAATGGGCTCCTTATTAATTCCACAACATTCCCCTATGTTCACCAGCCAGTGGCTCTCTCGGAGTTTCCAGCCGATATTTGGTACAGAACAGTAAGTAAAATTCCATTGAAAGTTTATTCTACAAGTAGGTACTGAGCGAAATTGTTTCTAGCCACTGGATTGGGCCCAGAGAGGCGGCAATGTTGTAGTAAGAAAAATTCACGATAAAGGAGGGCATTTTCCTTCAATTGAAACGCCAGATGTCCTCATCGACGATATCCGGTTATTTTTTGGAAATGGCTCTCTCGCAAACACGACAATGTTTGGTCGCTAGGAATTTGTAGCGCTTCGGATGGGCAGTCAGCGAAACCACAAGCAACTTGTATGCAGACGTGAGTTTTCAGTAGGACGGAGATGGTCGGCGTGCTCGGGAGGATTTTTTTGTTTTAGAATCAGGGGGTTCAAGTAATTCAAAGTATAAGTTCTTAGAAATACCAAACTAACAACAAACTATAGACAACTTCAAAGAATGATTTACTTTCATAAAATTTGTGATTTGATTCACTTGATTACAGGTAGCTAGCTAACTATATATATATACTTGTCATGATATCAAATCACGCACTGGTTAAAGTCCAACCCATCGCCATTCAAGAAGATAATTCAACCCACTTTTACCACACCAAGTTCTCTCCCCAGACTGCCCCCGACTCCTCCCTGCAGCTCGTCATGAGACGAGACATTACGAGGAAGCCTTCGCATCCGCAATGATAACATCAGCCGCCTTTTCACTAATCGTATAGATCGCGGAAACGATAAAATATCCCGGAATCTCTGGGAAGACACTGGCATCTACAACACGTAGACCTGTTGTTCCTCGAACCCTGAACTTGCTATCCAGCACAGCTGTAGAGTCATCATCGGCGCCGATTCTCGCGGTACAGCAAGTATGGTGGCCCCACGCCTCCCGTCTGATAAAATCCTTGATCTGTTCCTCAGTTTGTACATCTGATCCAGGAATGGTCTCGGTCCAGGTGTTATCTACTGAACTGAGGTTCCCATATATTTCGCGTATGAGTTTTATTCCGTCATATACAGCCTGAACATCCTCATCGCCCCCATTCTGGAAAGAATGGAAGTTGATGTGAGGGGTATCCTGAGGATTATTGGAAAGCAGCGTGACGGTGCCAGCATAGTTTCTGCTGTGAGCTTTGAGTACAAGAATCGCGAAATGCTGTGCATCTGCAAACGCTTCCTTGGAATACCCAGGGAAATAACCATGGAAATTTGCAGGGAGTCCAGCCATCAAAAGATCAGCCGTATCCGGGGATGCAACTGATGATTTCTTAGGAATTCCGAACACAATTCCATTGCTTGAATAAATGCCTGGGGAAGTGTGGTTGTTCTCCCACCGAAGAAGACATGAGTCATCCTGAGTTTGGAGGAAAGTACAACCGTTAAAGACTTCGAAATTTTGCGTCGATTCTTGCACAATTGTGACCTCATAACGATCGCTCATACCAGTTCCCACGCCTGGTAGGTCAACAATAACTGGGATATCAAATGATTTCAACTCTGCAGCAGGTCCAACTCCGCTAAGTTTGAGAAGCTGAGGTGTGTTGAAGGTGCCGGTAGAGATAATCACTTCACGGGTGACATTGACGCTTCCTTTGCCAGTTGGAGCTTTAGCAGCAGAATACCGTGGATCAGCGCTGTACAGACTTTGACCAGCTAGGAAGTCGACTCCGACGGCTTTGGGTACGGGCCCGCTCTGGTCGAAACGGATTTTGGTAACCAAAGACTCTAGGCGAACATCAAGATGATATTTTCGAGATCCATCCGAGTTAACAGCGTTTGCAACCTGGAGAATAAGATCTCGTGGCCCAGATCGATCCCAATTGGGCTGCTTGACAGCCTCTGGGACTCGGAATAGGCCTTCAGTGAAGTCTCGAGTGGGGGAATCGCTATTGACATCGGCAGTCAACCATTGTTGGTAAGCGGTAGACATGCTGCTTATTTCATTGCCAACAACTGTAGCAGCTGCTCGGACAATATTCATAATCCTGTTATCTCCAAGGAAGATATCCAGTTGTGCAAGGCTTGTTTCGAGCCAGCCGTTAAATCCATGTCCAGAAGTACCGTTTGGGAGATAAAGGTTATCTTCCGCACGTTCCCAATATTGTTTCATCAAATCAGGACTCCACGAGTTGTCACCCGTTATCGATTCAACAGTCTCCCAATCACTGGCTTGAGGTGTGGTTGTTATCATGACATTATGCCCTGCACAGCCGCCAAGGGTTCCAGCGCGTGGGTACAATATTCCGAGGGGTTTTGCTCCAGCTGGTGGGTTAATGCCCACAAATTTGGATCCATCGGGCAGTTCCCAGGTGAATTTGGGATCTGTTTGCCCAAGTGTCTGATTGTCGTAATGCTGGACAAAGTAATCCCACTCCTGTGGCGGAAACTCCGTAGACTGAAGACTGAGTAAGGGGATTTCTTGAAGGAGCATGTTGCCTTCATCGTCACCGGCATCCATGAGTAGAACCTTGTATCCAGCGAGAGCCAATCTGGCAGCAACAGGACCGCCTCCCGGTCCAGAGCCAACAACTACATAATCGTAGGTTGGAAGGACTATAGGGTCTGGATCACGTTTATGGAACTCATTGTTGGAGGAACTTTGTGGAAGTCCATTTGAAAGGCCATACAATGCTCTGGAGATATGTCAGTCTTTGGGATGTCATTGTTTGCTATTTGAAAGCCACAATAACTTACAAAGTAAGCACGGCAGCTTTGGTAAAACCAGGAGATGCCATTATAAGCAGAGATGTTGCGGAATTGAGTTTTAAAGAATAACCTCAACGAGAACACTTAATAGCTCCGATCTCTCTGTTTGATGGTGCTGTCGAAATCAACTACATTCCAGAATCGTGGAAGATTGTCCTGCCTTTATACATTTCAAGCACCTCATGAATCACACAGAGATCATTGACTTGAGGGCTGGAGCCCACATTCTAACCCTGGCAACTTGCTTTCTAATCTCACTGCAGCTTATCAACACTTCACTAGGATCATGATTATTTCCTTCCAGTTTCCGTGATACATTCCATGTTCACCAGCAGGTATACATGTAAAGCATCAAAAACCCACTTTCTATTGCTAACATTTTGCACCCTACGGATAGAAATCACCCACCTATAGTAACGCGGAATAGCCCGGCGAGCCGGGCCGCACGGAGCACTAATCAAACCTCGTGAAGAACTAAACGGATCATTCCGAGTTATTACAAAGTATGTAAGACTAAGTTTTTGAATCTTACGATCCAGACCGAATCTAATTCAATGTCGTGACAAATCCTTCAAGGATCGAAAAAAGTTGATCACTTCGGATTGGACAACTGGGTTCTAGACCAGAACTAATACGTAGACTCCTTCTGCCTTCACTATAGATATTTTATCCAATTATGGAGTAAACGGTATATAGAATAGAATGATATAAAACAAAGGATCATATGATTTCCTATTCACCCACTGTAGGGACAAGGTTAATTTAATTTGGCAACAAACTCTATATAAAGTATGTCTAATGAAAATACACGTATATCTTATAGATCAATTCTATCATATAAAGATTATTTTCAAAAGCTGGGATGTACCTTTGCGTTAAAACGGCTATTGCAGCTTTACTGACCCTCTTGATTCTAAATGTGACCTCCACATTCAGTACTCTAATCAACCAACTAGCTCTCATCAAGTGGCCTAAATAAATACAAATACATTTTGCATAGGTAGTCCTATTTCCCCTGGTCAGATGACCAATCGGCCCGTACACAATCAAATCCATATTCTAGGAGCCATCTGCGAGAAATGTTCAGGACAAGGTCAGATAGCGGATCCGTGGTGTGCAGAAGTATGCGGACTGGCCGAGGGGATACAAATCGGCCCTTAAATAATTCAAATCAATATCCTGGGGGCCAACTGGGAGAAATATGCAAGACAAGGTGAGAAAGCGGATCTGGGGATGACGGGAAGTTCCGGTGTGGGGAGGTATGCGGGCTATAGCCATAAGGATAATACGACAATAAGGCATGAACTCTTATCTCTAACAGCTGAAGGTATTATCCGCGTGTTTCTGTTCCCCTGTTATTGCAGATGCCTATCACGGTACCTGCCAAGATGCTTGGAACTTTCCCCAGAAAGCAATCCCGTTGGGCTAAGATGGGGGTGGGCATGTGAGCCTGTATACGTGCTCTCGAACATGGAGCTCAGACTTAACCTCGGCATTTTCCTCCTCCGCATCGCGGTTGCACAGGTACACAGAGTCATCATCTGAACTATTATAGCAGTTCTTGATACCTATAGCGTTTTCTACTTCTTTCTCCGTCAGCCTATTTCTGGAGGCAATATACAGATGGAAAGGGGAGCGGTGTCAATCCCAAGGTCACGGTTGATGCTACGTATGCTTATAAACCAGTACCCGCTACTCGGTAACTCCAATAAGAGTGGTTTCTAATAAATTCTTTTTATTGAGAACCGGCAATATCCCGTTATACCTGATATCCCAGTGATGACCGAGAATGACCGCTCGCGGCGGCCGTCGACCAAGGGTGACCGTGACTTGGCACCCAATGGTGGGGCGACCTGTCATTTGTATATGAATAGAAAGGTAAAAGGCCATCAATCTATCCTTTTCGCTCTCCTTCAGGTCCTTTGAATAGAAAGATCTTGCGAGGGCATTCTAAAAAGACTAAAGTCCTCTCTGCTTGAAATATACCAGCAGGAATCACTTACAAATTCAGATCCATGTAAAGGCTTCCTATACAGCCTTCATTGAGGATCATTTAGGTGATTATGGCAGGGTTAGTTTTAGGACTTATGCTGCGCTCTGTGGCAATTTGTGGTCCGCGGTCAGCTGGGTACCTTCCTCTGCCTAGGTAAAAGGAAATAATACCGCGGCAAAAAAATATACATCCGAGGCACTAGTAATAACAAGAAAGGGGGTTTTCCACACACAACCAGTAGAACGTATATAAGGTATCACTTTGCATTGCAATATCTACTCGAATTGAAGCATGGATAACAACCAAAATATTATATCCCAATTCAAGTAGGGTCATCAGTCTATGTGGTTCCAATAAAATGGATTGACAGAAACCGTAATGATCTCGACTTTGAGATACTCTTTCGTAGCCGCAGGGATGGGAGCATTATCAACCAATTTGGCGATTCTTGGTCCTTGAGTGACAAATAGCTCTCTGCATGATTTGATGCATACTCAGGTGACAGAGCTTCTTATGATTTAGTAAATCGGAAAGGCATAATAACGCAACGTTTAAAAAGGGCATCTGCAGTTAATCTTAACGGGTCCCAGACCGATCAATTGCTCCAGAGTGATAAATATTCCATACCTCGGTCATACGGCTATTGATTTATAAGATAGCAGGTTGGTGGGGTATGCGGTAGATTGATGCGGTAGATATTGATGTGTGCTGAAAGAGGCAGTAACCATGAAGGTACCAGGGCAAGCCGAATACAAGGGTCCAGTAGTAAATAGAATATATTAGTAAGGGCTCTCTGCCCGACTAGAGTCTTATAGGGACTAAGCCAATTGAACATATTACTCAACAGGGTGTACTTAGTATATGTAGTCGCTCAATTTCGCCGATTGTTGCCTCTTATCATAGATCAATATCATTGACCAATTCTCTGCGAGGATTATCAAATATCCAAAACCTGTCCAAAGTCTAACCAGATTCAATTTAGTAACGTTAAACATGCCCTTTTATGAGGTGAGCATCTCCAGTTCCAGCCTCCTATAAATACGTACCCTACCTTACCAACATAATGAACTTTAGCTTACTATAATTCTGTTTCGCAAATAGATTTACCACTCTTATCCTCTCACTAGAGCCCAGAAACAAAGGTTTGCCTCATCAATTACTGAGCTTCACTCTACTACTTTCACAACGCCATCTCTATTTGTCAACATTCGATTTGTTCCTACTGAGCCAACCGGCGATTTTTTCGTTGCGGCTAAACCAGTTGAACCTACTTCCCCAAACCGGGTTATGGCCTTGGTCCGAATGGGAGCGGATCGAACAAAAGCACAGTTTGATAACTTGGCTGGTAAGATTGAGAAGTCCTGGAACGAGATTGTGGGCTATGACGATAGTCTACATATCGAAACTGTTGAGGATAAAGAGAAGAAGCTACACATCGTGAGCTTTGTCGCTATTATTACTGGTAGGGAAAATGGGGTTTACCTTCCCAGTGTACGTCTCTCACTTTTCTTTTCTATCCATGCAGACGGCATTACATTTGCTAGTGCTAACTTGTAAATTCCAGACTGGTCAAGAGAAGACATGGCTAAAGGATAATATGGCATATTTTAAAGAGAGGGCAGAGATTAGCAGGGATGAGAAATTTGCTGATATGTTGGAGGAGATAAAGCATCGCTCAGATTTAAATGCTGCATTGTAGCTTTTCTTGTAAATACTTAAGCGTGACGGACTGTACACCATAGGCTAGTATATATTGAAATGAATGATGATATATAAGCCTCAACAGCCCTCCGGCTTTCGGCCTTTGTGCAATTTCAACAGTATAAATAAGAATTCCCAAGAGATAAAGTAAAGTTCTAGTTTATATTAGCAATTAGGCAATGTGAATAATATTCCGAAAGAAATCCAACCCAAAACGGAGGGAAACAAAAACAACGTGGTGTAGGTTACGTTTGGTAGCAATCCGTAGCCCCGCATTTTCTCTCCAAGAGGCAAAGGATTAGGAATCTGAGCTTTGTTGACTTATTTCTACAATGAGGAAAGCGGTTCGGACCAAGCCGGGGATGCCGTTATTGGTTGAACGGTGATTCAAACTACCGTGCAATATGTAACGGGTGGAGCTCGTGTCCCAGGTATGTGGTACAAACAGTTCACAGTGCCAAGGTATCGCAGTATGAACAGTTGACTTTGAGTTTGTCAGCTGTTCGTTGCTTTCAATATGTTGAGGAATAAAGTTGATCGAGTTGAACTAAAGCGCCTATTACTAATGTATGACGCCCTCACACACAACTGGTTTGGCTGCTAATCGCTAAATAATTGGTGGTGGGTATTTTGTTCTGTGCTCCTTGGTATATATACAAGTGTATCGCATGAGCTCTGTCTGAACGAGTTGAAGAACTTGAACAAATATACATAACGAATAATCCAGCTATCATTATCCAACAATAATTTATCAAAATTTCACATTAACACTGAAAGTTAACTCTGCACACAATGGCTGCATCAAACGTTTTGGCCGCTACTCTTAAGTCATTGCATCGCCCTGGCAAGCCAATCATCTTTACCAATGTTTATGACGTTCTATCAGCTCGCGCTGTAGCTGCTCTTCCAAGTTGCAAAGCACTGGCTACAGCAAGTTATGCTGTTGCCAGAGCGAATGGGACGGAAGACGACGACATGGACGCCCAAACGAACATCCGCGCTGTCCTGCCGATCGCGAAAGTTGCCGCAGAGTTCAACAAGCCATTCACAGTTGATATTCAAGACGCATACGGAGAGAAGCTCGAAGAGGTCATGACAGCACTTATTCAGGGTGGTGTCCATGGAGTGAACTTGGAGGACGTCAACAAAGACACCCAGAAGTTTTACAGCCAACAAGAGGCTGTGGAGAGAATTAAAAGGACGTTAAAGGTCGCCGAGAATCTAGGGGTCAAGGATTTTGTGGTCAACGCCCGATGCGATGTTCTTGTTCACGGTGGTCCGCTTAGCGAGGTTCTCGCTCGAGGAAAAGCATATCTCGCTGCCGGCGCTACCAGTGTGTTTGTCTGGGGAGGCTCGCAGAGGGGAGTTAGCCGCGATGAGGTTGCAACAATGGTGAAGGAATTCGATGGGCGACTCAACGTTTCGATGAAGCTGTCACCTGACGGATTGAATGCATCTCAACTATCTGAGATTGGCGTATCCAGAATAAGCATTGGTCCTGCAATTCAGTTCATCGCGATGGATACATATGCAAAGGAGGCAGAGAAGATACTAACTTCGGTTTAAATGAATGTACACTAGAATAATGAGTTCAAATAGACTGTAGCTAGGTGTTGTTATACTAATATCTTTATTTAAAAATGGATGTTCAGTTACAGCATTGGATCCTATTCTCAAACCAGTATAAAGTTCAAAATCATAGCATTCATATCGTCTTACAATTGCCTACAGATAGATGCTTAAAGGAATTATGGCTTTATACCAATATGGAATGGGAGGCAGGCGTTGCGTATCCCTTGATGTTTCAATCTACATCTCGCGAACTCGCATAGATATCAGTAACAGCATTTCTTATGATGGGGTTTGCTCTCGTATACTTTTTTATAATATCAGAAACGACTCTGTGTTGTAACTTTTTGTCAACCAAAGATAAAGTTGTACCAATTGTTTTTCGCTTGTGCAGTTAAAAATACATACTGACGCTATGAAACTGCGTGTATCCTCAATATGACTTGCCACTACCTGTTGGAGCTCCCAAGGAAGTTATTTGACCAACTGCGTGTAAGAGTCAGCTCAAACTTTTGCCAACAGAAAAGTGCTTTTTGTTTAGCACTAGGACGAACTAATGTTGATCTGTAATAGGGATCAGTGGCTTGGTTTCCTGTGCAATCTTCAGAAGCCGTAACAGAGTTGGCTGTTGTTGGTATTAAGTCACCTTCCAGCAACAGAGACGGACGATGCAAAATGTGCAATGTGTATCTCTGTCATCACAATCCGCCAATGTCGATTCATTGTGAATATGAATTTTCCACAGTTCATTTCCCGGTGCCTCAACGGGTATTATACAACATGTGGCCTCGTCTTCGCCAACAAGTCAACGATCGTAGCAAACAGGTCTGGTGCCTGGACATGCTTTCGGATTTATTTGAGACTTCCCATCACCGGTTGGCTTTGTGTGCTCGACAAAAGGCCATACACTGACAGATAGTTGTTATCCCGGGCATCTTCAGTGTGCCCGAACAAGCCCACATGGAGGTAGTCGACGCGCATCCGACAAAGCACACAAACTTGCCGGAATTTATGATGATGAACTAGATTGTAATATTCAAAAGAAACACGTTGCCGATACATTGTAAACAAAGTCACTCTTATTGTGTATGTAAATCAAGCACTAGGCTTGGTATATATAGAAGTTTAGAAGCGGGGTGTTTAGGAACGTCAGGCAGGAATATTTTCATTTTATACAACCATAATGAGTCCCACATTTGAAAAGGAACTTGTAAATTGATACTCGGATTTTGTCCCAGCTTTGTTGTAATAGTTGGATGGCTGATATGCGTTCTTGAAAATTGACCTTTGAGTATTAGTCTGTATGTTATATACGGATAGATCTAGCGCTTTCAAGTTAACACGCCTTTCGTCCCACCCGACATCTGACTGAACAAATGGGCATCGACTGCGCTGTGCCCACTCTACTAATGACTGCCTGGCATTAACAAGTACGGCTTGTATTACCATAATGGATTACGATTTGGAACAATGTGGCTGCATGTTGCTTGACCGAAGAACTGTATGGGCTAGTGAGAAAGGTTTACCATCATGTAGTCTCTATCTTGATAGCCTAGGGGGTGAGCCGGTATCGGCGGTGGTATGCTTCATGACCCATCCTCACTCCATGAGTATTGGGTTTCTTCCGAGCTGTGAAGAAAGTGTACCTAGGCCTGAAACGTCTCCTTTTCTCTATGCTTACACTTTCTGGATCTAACTTAGCTAGCAGCTCATGTTCCCATTCGTATTCTAGTTGGTGTGCCATTAAGCTGTATGTTGAATCTTGGCAAAGTGACACCCTGACAATATGGACGACTTTCCTGATTTGCCAGCGTCTATATTCTTGGCAGTCTGCGTATCTGCACGAATGAATCCACATCATTTCGTATTCGCGTGGGATTAATCGCGTGATTATTTGCTGCCTGGGCTGTGGCATGGCGGTTGAGATCACTGCCACGGGGACGCTGTGCGAAAATACAAACTGCTTTGCAGCTGATGTCGCCTGGTAAGGCATATTCAGACTCTTTTGCATCTTCGTTGAACCACCACGTATCTCCGAATCTATGTGAGCAATAGTGTCTAAATCCATTGGATAGCCTGTTTTGTCAAAGTTTCAGAACCGCCCTACATCACGTATCAAAGGAAAGACTATTCATGATGTTGCACTCGTCTGCCACCGTGTTTGCCAAGATTTGCCCCAGTATGTTGTAAATGATATATATCATTTATATCATGCCGAGAAGATTGAATGCTCACCACTCTAGGCAACCCTAAGCTAACCAACTCTTCATTACCAACCCCGTTTCTTTTTTTGGCACAATGTCTTACGCTTGAAAGAGCCTTGCACAATCTCTCCCCTTTCCACATTTTATGAGAGAGCGAGTCGCTGTTCGTTCGACCGCAGAGTGTAGGATAGTATACTTCCTAAATTTGAGAAGAAACAAAAGAAAACTCGATATTTGACAAATTACTTGGCACGCAGTGGACCGGTACACAGCATAAGGCGTAAACCGTAAAACGCCCCCAGCTGTCTATGTGTTGTTTGACTTATGATGATAGAGCAGCATCATAAACAGCTGTAGATGGAAACAACAATACAGTAACAAATGGATAATACTTCATTTCCGAAGCTAGGAAATGAAACTCTACCATCATGAGATAGGTGTATAGACCGACAAAAGCTGCTTAACCTTGGTCTCCTTTGTTCGACAAATGGAATTCAGGTTCCATTCAACAGTGTAAAACTCCATGAATGAGTACCAGTGCCGCCGTAGCCAGTCTCAGTGTGGCATAAAGTATGTTTGTTGTGTTAAAAGATGGCGTGGGCAAATTATGGCGTCATTTGCCCATGGCGTCTTCCTGTGAATGTCAGAAGAATTTTCGATTAGATTTCCTCCTTTAGTTAAAACTTCGCTGTCAGTTCCCCCTAGTGGCGTGTTTTCGGGGACTACGTGGGAGTAGTGTCAATGGTCACGAGGTGGAACCTCGATGTCCTGTCAGCTTACATGTTTATACTGTACACGAGCGGCGTTTTCGGTACTTGGGCGTCGATGTAGATCATCCTCATTTAGAACGGAACATGGTAAGATATTATGCGGAATGTCGGACGCTATATACAACTTGACCATGTATGTACACGCACACACTGTTCTAGAAAACTGAGACCAGACGAGAAGGGTCATGCCATGGACTTGGGTACGAGCATACCAAAAGGAGATATCGAGGGTCGATCGCTTTCAGGCGTTTTAACGAATGTGCATGAGAACTTGTTCTTCACCCCATCACACCGCTTACAGTGCTTGTTACCATCGTAGTGGTTCTCGTCTGCATGGACCTTAGCTCGCGATGATTCTCATACAGTAGTTCCTCGTAGCGAATGGATCGGAAAAGTCGGTTAGCTAGGCACCAGAATAAAATTTGCGGGTATATGGAGCCTCAGCTCCATAGAAACACGGCAACATGCAGCAACACTGGAGAGACGAACTCGACGGATGGGGCACTGGGGAGAGTCGTATCATGGCGGAGAAAGGGGTAATGGGGAATGGTTCTGCAATTGGATTGAAAATGGCTCCAAGGGCAGCAATTTGTTGCAGCCTAGAGAAAGAGAAACGTGATACGGCCTGTGCATATTCAGCTCTTCCGAGCCCATGCCGTGGGAGAGACTGAATCAAGTGTGAATGCCTGAGACTCTTGACTGATCGGCATGCGCAAGGGAAGGAAAAGATTGGGCCAGCAATGGCAATGGCAATGGCAAGTCAGACAGCATTCGAACTCCGAAGCGAGGGTTGGGTGGTGGCCAATGATTCAGTTTTTTCTGAGAATGATGAAGCCCTTCACGGGGGCGATGTTGGTGTATATCGAGATCCGAGGATGACGAATTAAACAGGTTACTGAACCGAGGATTACGCGAGGGATGGAAGCTTTGTGCCACCGAAGTTGTGACTTGTACTCGGAGAATGGGAATGAGGGGGACGTTGCCCTGAGGCTGAGACGAGGGTACGTGGGGATTACATGTTCATGTACGGTAAGAGTATTGTCCGCCTCCTTCATGACTCTTGCACGAGATTCGCCATGATGATGATGGAGCATCTAGCACTCTGTACAGTACGAGAGAGCACGCGGCATGCCCCGAATCTCCAACTTACACACAATTGAGAACCCCCAAAGAAGAAGGGGAAAAAAAAGATTCAATACTTTGAGGACAATTGAACTAGAAGACCCACGATGCTCCATCATAACGACTCGCCCACTTTTCCTCCGGCTGTCGATTGGCCGTGGCGCGTAAAAGGCTTCGGATGGGTCCATCAGCGTCCATCACCAAGACGTCATCGACGAGGGATCAGCACCAGGCAGAAGCATTTCCAAGACCCATGGGGGAAAAGAATTTTTTTGGTGATGGAGCTGATTCTTGCTCAAGAAGCCCGACAAGGTGCAGCTGGGGCAAAGTAAATGCCTCGTCTGGACGCAAGGGCGCGAACAAGATGTAAGTGCCAGTTGAGCAGCAGCGTGGGAGGATTTGACAACTTGTCTCAACCCTCGAAAACGCAGGCGGCCGGCCGGACAGGAGTATCCGACGCTTGCTGCCCCGTTTCGGTTCGGACATGTGCCGTACTCGTACTAAACAAGCCCAGAGATTTAATCTACACGATCGAGGATTGCAGGCGTTTCCTGTTCGTTTCCTGGCCACTGGTGGCGCGCAACCCCCCGGGCCGATCGATTCTTGCCCCTGCTAGCCTCCTTGTCAAGTGCCGTCTTCCGACCCTGCCGCCACCACTCACGGCGAGGCTCTGACGCCGCTGCCGGATGGACTTGAAAGGCCCTGCTTGGCCCTTGCTTGGCAGTGTTGGTAATTAATTACATGTACTGTATGTAGTCTGACGGACGGGACCTGGGACTAACACGGCCGTGCGCTGGGAGAGAAACAGGGAAGTTCTGAAACTGAAACGGTGGGAAAAGAATTGGAAAGAATGAGAAAAACAAGGCAGCTTGGCATGGTCGAGGCCGTTATGCCACGGTGATGGTGATAGTATTACAGGAAAAAGCATCAAAACAAACCCGCGATAATGCTTGCGGGCTGAAGCACCACGGTCTAGAACCTCCTCACCAAGAGGAACAGCTGCGATAAGAAGAGAAAGCCAGCGTTTTTCTTTAGTCTGGATTCTGCCTGCTACATGTCTCTGCTTTGAGCATGGCCGAGAACGTGCAGAGACTCCAAAAGTCTGGACCGGACGTCCGTTCTCGCTGGCTGAGCAAATGTCTCACAGCGCCCTTGTTGCTTGGGATACCGCCCCATGCAGCCGCAAGCGTGCTGAGAGCATTCCCCAGCTCGCTTCCCCCAGATCACAGGACGAGGGGAAAATAGCGTTTTAGTATTTCTCGCGTGCTGCGATGCTCATCTACAGGGTTGCTCTTTTGGTAGAATTCCGAGAACGGCTACCCGAAGGCTTCGACAGACTTTGGCACTAGCCCTCGGGGATATGGCCAGCAATCCGCGTCCGTAACTCTTGTCAGTCCGCGTTTACAATGTTTACAATTTCGAGCTTCTCTCGGTTTGGCCGAAGACGTTGGACATCCCGGATCTAGTTTCTACAGTTTCTTTGGTACTCGTACCGGCAGATGGGGCAGCATGGACGTCATATTCGCTGGGGCCCGGTGTGGGTGGATATTCTTATTTTCGTAGCTTCGTGGTGAGACCCCAAACCCCCATTATTTCCTCCGCCGCCTACCACCAACCCTATTTTCCTTGTTGGCGAATGTTCTAGGGAGTCTAATCGTGGAAACTGAACGCAGATAAAGTTAAATAGGCTTGCCCCCCAGTCTCTAATCCTTTGTTTCCCTCCTCTTCCCCATCCCTCCGCCTCTTTTTCCTTCTCCTCACAGTCTTCCCCAGACTTTATCTCCCCCGTATCTCATGTCAGCTACTCCAATTTTTTAAGTAAGCCGAAGGAGACTTGCTGTCAAATATGCCGGGTCAACACACGCACTTCACGGAGGATCCTCCCCAGGTCCTCAACCAGCAGGACTTGGACCTTGCCAACGAGAGGCTGAGGACCAACGGGTCACAAGGTCAAGAAGGCTCCAGCACTGACAACATTGAAAAGCCAGAAGACGTGCCTTCTGATAACAATAACAAGCTGGAGAAGCTTGGAACGTATGACAAGTACGAAATCACGGAAGATGACTGCTACGAGGAGCTCGGCTACTGCTTCCCCAAGTGGAAGAAGTGGTACATCCTGACGGTCATCTTCTGGGTCCAAGTATCAATGAACTTCAACACCTCTCTTTACTCAAACGCCATTCCCGGCATCGCAGAAGAATTCCACGTCAGCGAGCAAGCTGCTCGATGTGGTGCCATGATCTTCCTGGTTCTTTATGCTTTTGGCTGTGAACTTTGGGCGCCTTGGTCGGAAGAGTTTGGCCGCTGGCCGGTCCTACAGCTCTCTCTGTTCCTGGTCAACATCTGGCAGCTTCCTGTTGCGCTGGCTCCCAACTTTGCCTCCATCATGGTCGGCCGAGCCCTCGGTGGTCTCTCCTCGGCTGGTGGCTCCGTCACCCTGGGTATGATTGCCGACATGTGGGAGGCCGATAAGCAGCAGTACGCAGTCGCATACGTCGTCTTCTCCTCTGTTGGTGGATCTGTTTTGGGTCCCATTGTTGGTGGCTTCACAGAAAAGTATCTTGCCTGGAGGTGAGTAATCATACAATATCCACATTTCCCAACATCTACTTACACTACATTATAGATGGTCTATCTGGGTCCAGCTCATTTTGGGTGGATTCGTCCAGCTCGTCCACTGCTTCACCGTTCCCGAGACTCGAACCACTATCCTGATGAACCGCATTGCTAAGAAGCGCCGCGAGGACCTGGGCCAGAACATTTGGGGACCGGACGAGCTTGTCCCATTCCGAGACCGCTTCTCTGCCAAGGAGGTCCTCATCACTTGGGTCCGCCCCTTCAAGATGTTCCTTACCGAGCCGATTGTCCTGGTTCTTTCTCTGCTCTCTGGCTTTTCTGATGCCCTCATCTTCATGTTCATTCAGTCCTTCGCCCTGGTGTATAAGCAGTGGGGATTCGGAACTGTCGAGATCGGGTTGAGCTTCATCCCTATCGGTATCGGCTATGTCATTGCATGGCTTCTCTTCATCCCTGCCATCAAGCGCAACATCAAGGAACGCAAGGCCAAGCCCAATGATGAGCGCGCGCAGTACGAATCTCGTCTTTGGTTCCTTCTATACACAGCTCCTTGCTTGCCAATCGGCCTCATCGGTTTCGCTTGGACTATTCAAGGCCCTCCCATCCACTGGATTGGCTCCATGATCTTCGTCGCCATTGTCGGTATCGCAAACTACGCCATTTACATGGCCACAATCGACTACATGATCTGCGCTTATGGCCCTTATTCCGCTTCCGCCACTGGTGGTAACGGTTGGTCTCGAGACTTCCTGGCTGGTGTTCTCACCATTCCGGCTCTCCCATTCTTCCAAAACATCGGAAAGTCAAGTGGAAAGAACTTGGAATACGCCAGCACTATTCTCTTCTGTATCTCCTTCGTCCTCGTCGTTGCGGTCTACGTTATCTACTGGAAGGGTCCAGCCCTGCGCAGGCGATCGCCCTTTGCCCAGCGGCTTGCTGACGCTCGTCAAGAGCAAACGAACGAAGGCCGCCGTGGCAGCATCTCATATGATCCCAACCGCCGATGTAAGTCAAATCCAACTTCTTTGCTTGTTCTTTCAAGTGTTGATGCTAATCTTTCCATCATAGCTTCCGTTACATCAGCTTCTGGTGGCCGACCCGAGCCGCACAGGCGATACAGCCAGCAAAACCGCTTCTTCGGCGAGAGCAGGGTTACCCCTCGCGGTACTCCCAGAGGAACTCCCGCTGCTAGCCGTCGCCCCTCTGTCGCCAATGTGACGAAGAAATAAATCGGTCTGCGTGGAGTTGTGTGTGTGTATATATATATATAGAAGATAGGTCGTGGAGAATGGGATCTTAAAAATAAGGGCTGATTCCTGGATTTCTTTACCTGGCTTCCTTTTACTGTTGGGCGGGATATGCATATTCATCGCGAAATGGGTTTTGGGATGCGGGAATACTTGTTTGTCACTTACACCTCTTTGTTCTTATACCCGGGTCTTTGGATAAGGTGGATGTACAGACCGTTTATCTTTTGCTTGACCAAACTAAAGAATAATATCCCCAATTCATACAGCCTTATTCGGTGTGAATGAAATATTGAATGGGAAACCTCGTGTAGCCTTTGTTGAGATACGATACATATGAATCGCCCTCTCCACTGGTTTCTTCAAATATCCTCTACCATCATGAGCTATTTCTAATACCTGGTCTCAAGTGAGTAGCCACAGGTATTTTTACCATGGGCGCCCTACTTCGCTCCCCATATGTTATATACTATATAACTTGGCAATTCAGATTCTAGATAGCTAACTTGGAGTGGGCCATTGCGTATGATCGGAAAGATCCGTCGTTTGGCTACCTAGAACTATTGCCTAATTGGAACGAGTTGCAGTGCTAGAAACTGCGCCGCGCGAAGCACCAAGCAAGATGCGAGATCTGATCGTCGTTGGCATTACACGCTTATTTAGTCTTTATGAATGGTATTCGAGGCGCCTATCAAAAGATGAGACAGAGACACTGAAACCCTGACATTACATAGATATACTTTTCAGCCATCGCAGCATCGTCAGTAGCAAGGTCATAAAGCCAATGCAGTATCCATCCAATGTTGGTTGGGATATTGTAACAATCGCTTCGTTTGCAGCGCTGCAATTACTAATACATCGGAATTATAAAGGCATTGGAGGATGCATCAAAGTGCGCCCAAGAGCGTCACTAGGATTACTGCTAATCTGTTTCTGGGTTCTTCCTCAACGTTACATTTACATGTTCTCCGTGACTTCAGCGTAGGCATGTTCATAATACCGCCTATTCGCTCTAGTTCAGCGATATAATAGTTAATTCTCGTCGGAGATTAGCTTCTTTAGAGTTTCTGCGAATATTGCAATCTTTACGCATGAATTATCCCATAACGTACCCTATACAACTTTGAATATTGTAATCCTCAATCGTGTGTGCAATTTGGAGTGGTCGACACCGCTTACGAAAGTCCGCTCCGTGGATCCTTACTCCGCAGTTATTTATCCAAGGTTATTTTGTCCGTATATCCGATTTTGCCTGATTCCTTCATTTGAACCCGGCGTTGGTGGAGTTATGAAGAGCGATAGAGATTAGTGATAGTTGCGACTAGCTACTATATGAGTTGATGAATTCTGATATTACCTCAATTATACTTAGTTGTCATCTTTAGCTCCTTTACTTTTCTATATTTTGATTTACATCGCCGAAAATCAGTTGTGTACAATCATGGCGCAAATCCAAGGCCACCTTGACCCTAAATTTGAGGAGCTCCGGGATCTCTTCCAAAAGAATCTCGACTCGAAAGCCGAGATCGGAGCTTCCATCAGTCTCAACATCGATGGCAAGGACGTGGTAGATATCTGGGGAGGATTCGCCGACGAGGAATGCACCCGGCCGTGGGAATCTGACACCATCGTGGGAGTCTGGTCGTCCACCAAGGGACTCGCCAGTCTCGCTCTCTTGATGCTCATAGATCGCGGCCTGGTCGACGCCGATGCAAAAGTGGCAAAATATTGGCCCGAATTCGCCGCCAACGGGAAGCAAGACATTGAGATTCGCCATATCATGTCTCACACATCTGGTCTCTCGGCGTGGGAAGAAAATGTGACCTGGGATGATGTCTGTGACCAAGACAGTGCTGCGGCAAAACTCGCGGCTCAGGCCCCTTTGTGGGAGCCGGGCACGGCATCCGCGTATCATATAGTCACTTTCGGGGTGTTGATTGCCGAAGTTGTGAAGCGCGTCACAGGCAAGCCATTGAAACAATTTGTCGCCGAGGAAATCGCTGCTCCGTTGAAGGCAGATTTCCAAATAGGCTTGCTGGACAAAGATGTCCCCCGAGTCAGCAACATTATTCCTCACAAGGATACGCCACCACCCCGGGAAGCGCCCGAAGCAGGAGATGTTGCTATCAAGACGTTTACCAATCCCGCGCTCGACGTAAATATGCTCAAATTAGAGACGATACGAAAAGCTGACCTTAGCTCCTTGAACGGATTCGCAAATGCTCGCGCCATGAATCGCATCTTCTCCGTTTTGGCGCTCGGCGGCGAGGTCAATGGCGTGCGGCTAGTATCCGAAAAGACGATTGAGCTTATCTTTCGGGAACAGTCAAACGGTACATGTCTGACAACAGGGCATGTTGTGAGATGGGGTATTGGATACGCTCTTGGAGGATCAGGCCTTGTGAATTTTATGCCAACTGGGCGAATTGGAGTATGGGGAGGCTGGGGAGGATCATTATTTGTCTTTGACGCGGACAGGAAACTCACATTTACGTATGCCATGAACCAGATGTCTAATCGGATTATGGCACACGGGAGAGAAGGAGGTTATTTGACGGCCGTGTATAAAGCATTGGGGGTAGCGATATAATGATCGCTTGTCGCACGACGGCGGACCATCAGTCTTTGTGTAATTAATCAGTTGCCTCACTCCAAGTGACGCGAGGATGAGGTTTTATAAAACCGTAGCCTGATTTATTAATATAGATTCATTTATTCCAGGTAATGTTTATTGAAGATACCCAACACTTCCGTGTCCCGCCCTAAAGAGAGGCCTCTCCCCTCTCCTTGCCCTCCAGTAATTCGTCGACCTAAATAAGTCGACACAGCCTTCCAGAGTCCAACCCCATTCACTCAAAAACTCCGCAGTTACTTCCCATGAGGCCAGATCCCATGGGTCTCCCCACAAGATGAGTCCAGACTCTTTCTGGCAGGTGTCGAGCCCAACCATCCAGTGGCATAGGCTATCTGCATCGTATTTTCGCTTCTCCATCATGGTACTTACACCAGACTCAAGCTGTAAAAGATTATCTCTCATCTGGGGGTATGGCAATATGTCGATCCATGGGTGATGTGGAATAGATCGCTGCAGAGCTGTTGGCGCGAGGCTTTTTGGTAGTCGGAAGTGTGGTGTGCTATGAGATGAGTATGTATGAGAAGAAAACGGAGATAATGCACCATCATCTATCAAATGGTCTGAAGACAACCCAATAATAGAGCTAAGGGTTCCAAAAGCTCTCATCACGTTGAACTGCATTATACCCAGGAGGTGATCGTTGGATGGTGAACGCCCTGCGTGGCGCCCAAGCTTCAGTTCCTGAAACTGCACAACCACTGCAGCCGGATTGGTGTACCAGGGTGATGGATCCATCCAAGTATTGGAAGAAGCGCAATGTTTGTCATCAAACTGCCGATGAACGACCTCGAGCTTGCCAGTGGTGTGCTTCTTTTCCCCCGGCTGTCTCCGGCAGCTGAGACTCTCGGCTCCGGTACGGACGGACCCGGGACGTCTGCTTTCGGCGCAATCCAAGCGTTGAGATGCTGTTTTCTTCGTAGCCTTCTTTGGTGATTTATCCAAAATTCCGAGCATCTGTCGGCGTTGTCGATATGCTCTCTGATTCAGCCGGTTCTGCACTCTGCGTCGCACACTGGGATCAGTTGTGCCTCTCCATTCATCATCATCATTACGCATGATAGGCGGTAAATCTTGTGTAAGATGCATCTCAGTTATCGTGTAGGTGCTTACTCAAGATATTTGAAAAGTCGTGAGTGTCATGGAACGAGTAGCCATGAACCTCTCGTCCTGAAGCCTCTCACTACCTACAGCGACACTAGTGATGCCGTTTGCTTACATCTTGATTGCTATTGGCGCGGTGGTCCTCCGCTGTAGTCTCCACACTTCGGACTTTCGAAATGGGGTTGCTCAGATGTATATCAAGCCAATCAGGATGAGGGAGTAAGTCGGTTGCAGGATGTCACTACTCGGTGATTCCCTCTATCAAGTTGTGGTGATTTGGGTTCCAAATGTTGAGTCTCATATAGCTCAAAATATGTATTTAAAGCTCAGAATTCTCTTGAGTCTTTCGACACGAACAAAGACATTCACATCACTTCGTTGACAATGGCACTACACACATTCCTCATTACGGGCGCCTCATCTGGCATCGGCTTACAGATTGTATATGCTGCTCTTGAAGCTGGCCATAGAGTTTTGGCCGCTACTCGCAATCCTCAATCTGCTGCTGCTAAATACCCATCTGTTGAACAGCAAGGTGGCAAATGGGTTGAGATTGATGTCGATAAACGAGAGACGGAGGCCGTTGTAGAGAAGCTTGTAGAGGAGAATAACGTCGATATTTTGGTCTGCAATGCGGGATATGCTATGCTGGGCTCTCTTGAAGAGATGAGGTAAGAAACTTTGTACAAGCTTTGATCCCGGGCTCAGCTCACCGTGTTTTGGCAGCGTCGAGGAGTTTGAAGCTCAGATCCAAACAAATACTATTGGCGCCGTGCGCTGCATCAAAGGAGCCTTACCTCACTTTAGGAGAAGGGCAACAGGTACCATTGTGAATGTCAGTAGTTTGGCTGGCTTTTATGGTGCTCCTGCAACAACTGCCTATTCAGCTTCCAAGTTTGCTTTGAGCGGCTTCTCGGAAGCTCTAGCAACTGAAGTCGGTGTATTCGGCATCAGAGTTGTGCTTGTTGAACCAGGTTCCTTCCGGACGAACTTGGTCACAAACCTCACAGTCCCTGCACACAAAATTAGCGATTATGACGGCACTCCTGCAAGGGTTCTTGTAGAGTTTCAACACTCGTCAAATGGGAAGCAGCCGGGAGATCCCGCCAAGGGTGGGAAGAGGATTGTGGATGTAGCAACTAACGCAGCCGGAGAAGGCTTGGCAAAGAGAGGAAAGGGAGAAGTCTTGCGAATTCTTCTTGGATCAGATTGTTTTGACACGGTGAAACAAAAGCTGACGAAGATGGGAGAACAGTTAGTTGCTATAGAAGAGATTGCGAGGAGTACAGACTTTGCCTAGTTCATGTACACCTTCTTTACACAAGCCTACATCCACAGATTGAACTTCATATCTCAAAGTATACGCGACAACTCAAGGCCTCCAAGATGCAATACTTTGCTTCCCCTCATCCAAATAATGTCATATGTCTGATACGTGCGTTCCTTTGGCTCTTCTGTTGGGGTATGAGGTCGAGATACTCCACACAACAGTTGAGCACGCGGTAACGCTTTCACATATACTTCACGACTATATCACGAAATGCCGCCATATTACATTTCTGTTAGTCAACTGACCATCCTCATTTGGAATTTAGGTGTCATCAATGTATTGATCCTTATTTGGAAAGTTGAGTGTCATCAGTGAAATCATCCTTATTTGGACATTTGGGTGTCATCAATGGATATATCTCACGGTATATAAGTTCGACAAACGGACTTTGCAGTAAATCCGGCCAACAAGAGTCAATTCTCCCTATTTCCGGAGCACGAAACATCATGAACTTTCCATCGTGTGCTTCCTATATTGTACGATGGCGGGGCAGTGATATGCATATATTCTCATGCTCGGCTACTAACTGATGTGATTGGCCGCTGTCTATAACAGGCACTAGATCTCCTCAACAGCCTGACAATATGCGCTCTTCCCGATGCTCCATAATGTGATAGAAACAGTGGCCCTGGCCCGTACAGCAAGCCAATGCCGGTTCGATCTTGCCGAGGCGGTGTCGAGACTAAGGAGACAGTTTCCCACGCTAACACGATTCTGTCTCGTATTCCCAATTCGGCACACGACGGTTGCTGCTAAAGTATGTAGCAGTTGTAAGAACCATACTGTGTTTATACGTGGTTTTACTGTGGTATTGCATATTAGGGATACGATCTGAAGTATGCCAGATTAGGCAATGGGGAATGCCCTCGTATGTCCAAAAAGAGATACGATGTTTGAGAGGAGAATTATAGGTGAAGAATAGATATAAGTAAAGGTGTTCCCATGATAGGTGCTAGATGCCTCTCGTATAGAATCAAGCAACAAACAAATAGACTGTCTCAGAGCATTCATTACAAGTTCTCCATCAGAACACATTCGAACATTCACAGTCGCTACCATGGGAAAGGCAAACAATCTACCCGGCGCTGCACCTCTGCCCAAGAGCTTGCTTGGCTACCATCGCCAGCTAGCTCCTTCGGCTGCTGTCAAAGTTAGTCCTCTCTGCCTTGGAGGCATGGGATTTGGAACAGCTTGGGAAGGCAGCATGGGCAGTTGCGACAAGAAGACGTCCTTTGAATTGATGGACTATTTCTACAGCCAGGGAGGCACCTTTATTGATACGTGCGTTATTGTCCAATTAAACCGAATATTAGTAGACACGGTACTAACTTTGAATCATATCAGTGCGGGCAATTACCAGAACGGAGAATCCGAGGAGATCATTGGCGAGTGGATGGCAACCCGAGGCAATCGAGAAGAGATAATCGTGGCCACAAAATACACATCTGCTTGGCGTTTGGCCGAAGAAGACACAAAGATTCAGTCAAACTACGGTGGAAATAACAAGAAGTCTTTGGCGATATCCATCGAAACTAGTCTCAAGAGGCTGCAAACATCTTATATTGATCTGGTTAGTCTCCATCCTTTTCAACAGGCTTATCCTTCATTCATAGATAAGAGGGCTAATTTCACCGTCCAACAGTACTATGTCCATACATGGGACTTTACCACAAGCATCCCGGAGCTGATGCATTCCCTGCACAACCTTGTTGTTGCCGGCAAAGTTCTCTATCTCGGCATCTCCAACACCCCTGCATGGGTCGTCGCCAAAGCCAACGAGTACGCCCGCCAGAAGGGATTGACTCAATTCTCTGTCTACCAGGGTCATTGGAGTGCGGCTGAGCGAGACATCGAGCGTGATGTTGTCCCCATGTGTCTTGATGAAGGCATTGCCATGGCTCCCTACGGCGTCTTGGGCATGGGTTACTTCCGCACTTCAGCCCAGCGTGCGGCTGAGAAGGAAGAGGAGAGAGAAGGACGCAAGGTCCCTTTCGTCGACAAGCCTCAGAAGACCGCCATGGCTGATGCTCTAGAGAAAATTGCCGTGGCACGAGGCACATCCATCACCAGCATCGCCTTGGCCTGGGCTAGATTAAAGGCACCATACGTCTTCCCCATTGTGGGAGGCCGTAAGGTTGAGCATCTCAAGTCCAACATTGAGGCACTGGCAATTGATCTTACGGATGACGAGAAGGAGGCAATCGAAAATGCTGTGCCCTTCCACCCCGGATACCCTCAGGAAATCTTGGGTGGTCCCAAGGGTGCTGTGCATCCGTCAGACCTATGGACCACGAAGAGAATGGGTCATTTTGACTGGGTAGCGCGGCCACAGGTATGTTGACAAAAGCTGAGGAAGGCTTCAGACGAAAAATACTAACAGATTCTATAGGCACCAAAGCCTCATCCTCTCTAAGAGTCTGGATAACATGTATTGAGAGGTCTTCGCTTGCTGGTAGTGCCAATCAACGGTAGACCTCTGCACTTACAGGTGCACTGTACGCAGCAAAACAGAATTAGATGTAGGCCAAACTCACAATTGAATTCATCAACAGGCTTTCAGTCGCCGAGCTTCCTCATCTTGCCGAGTTCATACCACTACTCCAAAGTTTGTTTCATATTAATGAATTGCAGCATCACAACGCCATCTTTGGCATATGAGCCTGTAACTGTATGCAATTAAACGAATAGTACTAAAGCGCTAATACTGTGTTAGTTACCTTCTGCTGACCATTTTTTGCCGTATTTGGCGCCATGCGAGGAGCGAGCGAGCGAGAGCCGAAGCATATTTAGACATCTCAAGGCGAACTCTCAAAGTTCCTTTTCTTTTGCGCAAATCATCTACTGTTAGAAGCAATTCCATACAGGTTCATCCAATTCCTCACAGCAATGCCTTCTGACGGAAATTTTGGTGTTTTCGCACTCTCCACGACGGGTGAGACCCAAATTCTTACAGCTCCACGAGTGGATGACCTCGGTCGAGAACCACGGCAACGGAAACGACACGCAAAGTCTCGCGCCGGATGTTTGTCGTGCAAATCTTCCAGAGTCAAGGTACGACTGCAAAAATCCATTCCCATCTCAACTAATGTTTCCACAATGATGGATTGAGGAGATGATGGACATGCCTCTGATGATTCCGCAGTGTGATGAGATTCGACCTGCCTGCGCGAGGTGCGCTGCCAGGAATATACCTTGCCATTATGAGTTTAGCATCATGTCCATGTTGCCAAAGTTTACACGACAACAACTTCATAGTCAGAGATTCGGGGCGAGCTCCGTTCCCAAGTCACTCGGGCTCGGTCTCGATTTACCCAGTCTACGGCTTATGCATCATTTTGATCACTACACAGCGCCAACCTTGGCCTTTGGCAGTTTAGTATGGAGAGATGGGGTGCTTCCTGTGGCATTGAATGTATGCTATTAAACTATGTCAACCCTTGTTACGATTCAGTAATACGATTCAGTAATACTGACGCCGTCTAGAATGAAGTTGTCATGCACGCCATCCTAATGATCTCGGCAGCTCACCAGCGAAGTCTTTCGCCCCACAACACTGAGCATAACAAGTCAATGTCGTATCATCTGGATCTTACCCTCTCCGGGTTTAGAGACCTTTTATCGCAAGGCACAGATGGTTTCAACCACGATATTATTATCGCGTGTGCCATGCTTCTCGTGCACTATGCTTGGTCCATGCCGTTCTTTGCATATGAAGATGACAAGATCGACATGACCAGCGAGCCCGATAGACTGCTCAAGTTTGCAGCTGGTCTCAAAACGGTCATGAAGACCATGAAGGAAGACAAGAGGTACACCAACGGCATCTTCAAGGCCCCCATGTCGTATAACAGCATCGATCAGTTCCGGCAATTTGAAGAATCACTGGCAGAGACTTTTGTCTTCGACGATATGTTTTTCAGCGCACGAACTATGCCTTTGACCAACTATGATGGACACTGTATAGAAGGTCAAGACTTCAACGCCTGTGATCGACTGACGCCGCTTCTCAGAACCTTGGATGCCGTATCCAAGGGCCGAGTCATTCACCATTTGATACCGCAGATACAGGTATATACTCTCTTCTGGCCCGCCAAAGCATCCAAAGATTTTGAAGAAGACGTGGCCGATAACAAGACCGAGGCTCTGGTCATCATGCTCTGCTTTTATGCCACTGCTTGGCGGCTTCTGTCCGAGGATGTTTGGTGGGCTAAATCTCGTACAAAGGTCATGTGTGAGTCTATTTATCAATATTTGGATAATCATAAAGATCCAAAATGGGAGGGAGATATTGAGAATGTCCGCCGCTATTTTGGGTTCGCGCAGAATAGCGCTGGTAAGTGGACAATCGGAAGCCTAGGATCACATCCTGTTGAGTTGTAAATGAGATACTTGATTGTGAATAGCTTTACACGGAGGAGTAGCGTCTAGGTTTCGTCCATTGGATTGGATAATATTAATTGAGCATGCGTATTTCACTAGATCTTACTTGAGCAGAGTTCTGCGAGAAATCAACGAGTCAGTCAGTAGCGGCGACAAAAAAAATAAAGCGACCACGCCAGGAGTCGAACCTGGAATCTCTAGAGAAGGTGATTGTAACCGAAATCTAGCGCCTTAGCCATTAGGCCACGCGGCCAACTGAATATGTCTTGGTCGGATGAAATTGAACTCTATAGAGTAATGCAATAATGACGCGATCATTCGGCCACCACGCGATACACAATGAGCTTGGACGGTGATGGAGACAATCAATTTGCCGCTCTGACGGTTGATCTGCACTTTGTCAGAGGTAACATTGTTGTACTTCGATTCAGTTTTGTGGTTGGTGCAAAGAAGAGGCCGGAGATAAAACCGTCGTCGATTGCCCAATCCGGTAATCCGGTATTAACGAGTACATGGAGTTGTGGATGGTGTGATTCTAACCTTGTTAAACATCTCTTTTAGCCTCACAGTATTAGGGGAACTCGAAAATGAAGTGCTTTATGGTGATCTTGAAAAATGGCTCATTTTTCTATCCTATATCCAGCTTCAGACGCACATGTAACATATAATGCATACACCATCAACACCGGCAGATTCTAAAATTACAGGTCTAAGTATATCCAAACATCACCCAAAGAAGAATACATAGAAAGAAAATTTTCCTTGTCTATTTCACTTACCATCCTTGACTCATAGACTCATGTCCAGTAGACGTTTCTCAATGGTCCTCTACATTCTCGTCTCTCCCCGGGTACATGATATCTTGAACAACAACTGCTCGGGCGTGGTTGTACAAGACAAAGATGAATATGACAAGCATGCAGACACTCATTCCTGTGGTAACCCACTGAAAGCTGGAGCTTATCAGCTCCTTGGCGATGGAGATTGTCGCGAGCGTAAAGCCAGTGTTTGGAAACACCATAGCCCACCAGCCAAGGTGAAAGTATTTGGGGGGCGACGAAATCACGGCAACGACGGCAATGCCAAACCACCAAAAGCTGAGGGCCCAGAGAGAGATGGCCACTAGAACGGCCACTACCTTGATGACGCTCTTGTCGATGGCCAGCTCCTCAACGCTGTCGGGAACACCATTCGCCATGCCGATCAAGGCCAAGGCAGTGAAAGATGGCGGACCAACGCACATGAAAAGGCCGGGTCGGTGCTCTCGGTTTGGAAGACCAGATTGGACCAACCTTCCAATCATATGGGCGTACATCAGTATGGCCACTGACATTCCAAGGCCTTGGCATGTAAGCCCAGCTACTAGAATTGGCATGGCTGCGACTTCAGGCTGCGTTGCCGCAATGACAGAAGCAATCGTTCCTGAGAGCATGATGGGGAAGATTGGCAAGATCAAGGTCGGCATAAAGTTCTGCAGGCTAAGGCTATGAGCCGCAAAGACGTAGCTGTATTGGCCGATGGCCAGCACCGATGTCAAGGCGACATACACCCAAAACGCAGCTTGTATGACCCATTCCAGTACGACGTGATCATCCGGTATGGCGTATCGTTGGGTACTTGTAATGATTGTGGCGATGGAGAGAAAGAAGGTTGGGAAGAAGAAGCCTTCCCTTGGGTGGGTAAGCGACCGAACCAGCTCGCCCGTGTGTAGTAAGAAGCGAGCAGTCATGGTCATTGTGATGAGTGAAAACATGATAAGGTTGATGATGTACACAACCAAACCCACAGTCTTCAGACCAGCGAACTGATGGGGTTGTGCGAATATGAGCAGGGAGAGACCACCAGTGCTCATGGGGAAAGTATACCAGGCCCATGTGAAGTGTTGAAGTCTCTGTCGAATAGGCAGTTTCGGCCGGTTCGGGTCATAGATGTCAATAGCATGAGGTAGGCCCTTTTTCTCGCTAATTGAGTGTTCTTCGTCGTCGGGGACGGGAGTGCTCGTTCGAGTAACATCGCCAGAGAAGGATCGCGCGTGATTGCTGACGCTGGATTCGAGTCGCCCACCCTCAACATCTTCGTTGTCAGAAGGAACAAACTCTCTTGAAAGTTCCCGTCCGTTAGGTTCATATATGTCAGGGGTGGGAAACCTGTCCCAGCCTTGAGAAGGCGATATATGAGCCATGCCAGGCAGCGTAGTGCAGGTATGGGGTTAGACAAAAATCAAGAGGCTACTGCAAGGACTGGCCAAAAAGATGTCTAGAATAATAGAAGCTTCTGTTCGCCAGGCCTCGAATACGTCGAGGACCTTCACATCTAAGTACTCCCAATCACCCCAGCCCGGGCTCTGTTTGCTTTGGCCCATGGACAAAATTCAAGCCCCCGGTGACTCCTTGATAGTGCCCCATAAACGTATGGCTGCGCACAAAAAGCTGACGCAACAAGTGTGAGGCCAAGGCGTCGCGATCAAGTTCACCCTCTACCAAGAGCGTCTCATTTCGATAAGTTTGCTGGTGGCAACAGGCTACATCGGCTATTCCGCTGGAGTATCAAATATCGTGACCCATGTAAGTCGGGGCTTCGCGGACCCGGGCCTGGCGCCGGCACTTGCGCCGCCCTTAAAAGCCGATCTCACTAATCGGCAGTAGATTAGGAGATGGTAACAATTCCATTAGCGAAACGGCCTGCTAGGAGACTTTCAGGGGTTGTGCGATCTGCGAGGCAGAACTGGTATCCGTACTCTCTACATCGGCAACAAGTTGGATAGTACATGTATTCGCAAACCCCTTTGCCACCCTGTCACGGAACCGGCAGGGATTTCTAACGTTGAAAATGGAGTAGCGAAATGGTCAAACTGCACGTATCCGTACCCTATCATGGTTCTTCGGTGTTGTCGAGCCCGCGCGTGCTCCAGGGAGTTCCATCTGCGGTGAGGCTAATTGCTTTGACAGGTACGGTTGGATTCAATGTGGTCCTATTACTTGGCATCTGCGCCAAGATCTGACTGGATTCAACCCTATATCCTTGAAGAATGCAAGTAAAAGCGCAAAGTCTACGCAACACGGGTCGTGTCACGCAAAGTCGCCGATCCATGTAGTAATCTAGCCATACATGAAATATCCACATTATAAACTTGGCAGTTGAAAATTTCGACGCATTTTGGAATTAGTAATTATGCTTGAGAGAAACTCCCAAAGCGTGGCACTGGGGTAGTGGGGGGAAACGGCGAGCCCTGGTGTTATAAGCGGAAGCCCGCAGATTTTCGGTCGGCCGAGGACACATGCATCGGCAATGCCAAACAATGAACTGTTTGCGGCCCGTAAGAAATAGCCACTCAGAGAGAAAGAGTCCGCTTGTCCTACGTGCGTGTCTGTACTTGGAAGCCGTCTCTTGGCATTTCACTAGCTGGGATCCCGGGAACTCGAACTGAACTGCCGACCCGTAATGAAACTCGAGTACGAGTCCACGGATAATCCGGGAATATACAAACACAGCAAGTATATACTTTTCATGATTACAATTACTATCGTCGTGCAGCTTATAGGGCCGATGTCTTGGTAACCTTTAGAACATGATGCTATAAGGTTGCAGCTGAGACAGATTGCTCGTAAAAACGAGAAAATCCGAGGTGGTATTGTAAGTGCAGTCAAGGGTCTTGAGTCAAGCATTTTCTTGGTATCGGTTTTTACTCCCAGTTAGTGCGAGAAAGAATGAGACAATCGACCAAACACTGCCTCTTTGCATTGCCCACTTAATTCGATTGGATATCATGACTCTGAGGACCGGCAACTGATGCATTTCCGTTCAGCCATTTCGTATCTACCGCATGTTGGCTTGGCAGTCGACAACCCTGCTGTATATGCCGAGGAGTCAATCTTGTACTAGTATTTGCTGCAAGATAAAGTTGACAAATGGTATACCTAGTTGAAACGCAAAGCGCCTTACAGTCCAGCGATTGTGCCATTGTTTCACCCAAAAATAGATGACGGACGCCCTACTCGTATATAGATCTGACACGGCTCGGGCTTGGCAACTCTAATTTTGATGTACGGATCTGCATGGGCTATCTCGACTTGGGTTGTATAAAAAGTCTTATCGCCCGCCAAGCGACTCTGCTCAGCCTCTGTGGAATTACGCATCACCGTACCAACGGAAAGGGGTAGGTGATGATATGTGACGAGCATCTGTATTATTGCCCTTGTCCATGCAGGCAGTGCAGAAAATCTTGATAACGAACGTGTGAAATTAAGTAAAACATTCAACAATTTGACTTTTAGTTTCGAATCCGGGTTGTTTTTTAACCTTATCCTCTCTATGGAGACCTCTTACATACACCTACTATATACAGAAAGCACCCCTGAAGAAATGTAGAGAGTTCTAGTTCCGATGTGTAGCGTAGGAAGTGTTTCTATCTGACACCAGGAGCTCGACATATCTGTCTGATACGCCTTCTATATCAACATTGAGTCGTCTACGTTGATCGCAACGCCAAATATAATCGTCATATCATCAGATGCTTCAACTTCCTATGTGCTCATCTCGTATTTACTTCTCGCCCTCAACTTCTCCCCATACGCCCTAAAGAACCAAGGAATAGGTGCCATCACCAATGTCACAAAGCCCAGGATGCTCGTAGCCCATCCCGCGCCAAGATTCTCATACATTTGTAATGCAAAGAGTGGGAACACGGCAGACAGCAGATAACGACTGAACATCATGGATCCTGATGCGGACGCCCCATAGAGCGGACCATACGCATCCAGCATGAAGAGATTAGCGCCCGCATAGACAAGAAGAGATGACAACATAACAAGGCCTTGGAAGACAATGGGTACAATCCAGTGTACGTGGTAATGTACCGTCCAGCCAACAATGAAGAGACAGATTGGCAGCATAATGCTTCCAATCAGAGCCGACATGAGACGATTCTCCGAGGGTAGTGGCTCATCGTCATCATGGCGAAGCTGCCACTCCGTCAAACGCTTTTGGTAGGAGAAAAGATCAATCAGAATCAGGGGCGCCGCCGCAAGAGCCGTGCCGCACATCAACCCCAAATACGACAACGGCTCGCTCTCCGCTGGCCATCCATAATAGTGCCTGAATATCCACGGCACAGACACGACAAAGGTGTACAAAAGACCAAACAGGAAGCCGTTATACACGCTTACTAGTGTGACAATCGGCTCCGTGAACAACATGTGCAGGGGCCGCTGGATCAGAGTCGTAAAAAAGTATCTAAACGCTCGCCCCGGTGACGTTCTCTGGGATGCCGAGTCACGCAATCCTAGACGTGTAGCTCGTCGTTTGAGAATCACCTTCTTGTACGTCTCGCGAGTGAAGCACACAGGGATGTAAAACGCAACCGTGATGACGATGGAGATCCACTGCGTCCATTGCCAAGGCTTGACAAGCAGGACAAACCCTCCAATCAAGGGCCCAAACGCAGCACCAAACGACGGCACAGCATAGTAACCCCCCAGGCTGACGCCCCGATACCGCGGCGGCGTAAAGTCGAGCAGCGTGGCCGGTGCGTTGTTGATCAGGGGCGAGGCAAACACGCCGGCGAAGAAGCGGCAGGCCGTCAACCCGGCTACTGATCGACTGAAGCCGGATCCGAGCATGAACAGCACAAAGACTGGAGTCGAGAGCATGAAGACGGATTTGCGGCCGTATGTCTCTGAAAGTGGCGCGCCGACCATGGGCCCAAAGGCAAGCCCCAGATTGTACAGCGAAAGGGGTAGGACAGCGACAATGCGGCTGCAGTGGAGGGCTGATGCGACGGCGTCTTGTGCGGGCGCATACATTGATCCAGCTACGGTTCCAATCATGGCCAGCATGGTGATGGCAACGGTGCTGAAGATGCGCAAAGCGGCAGAGAAGTTGCGAGGGTTGTCTGGATCATCGGGGCCGGTCCAGTCGTAGGCAGCGTTGATGGTAGGGGGTAGGACGATGTTGGGTTCTTCGTACAGATCCTGTTCCTGACACTGGCCCTGTTTCTCATTCTGTCGATACTCAACCGCTGGATCTGGTGTATTATCGACGGATGCTTGCGATATCATCTCCTCTCGTGGATCATGAGACGGTGATGAGCGATAAATCACGTCTTCCATACTGTAGGTCGATTGTCCTAAGCCGCCTCTTATCAATCCGGAGCAACCGTTCTCTCATCGGTTTCGTAACGACACTCTAGAACTCATATCTCATCCAGCGTATGATTTTCCTCCTCTGACTTAGTCCAGCAAAGGTTCCCTCTTTGGGCGCACGACACGAAACCAGCCCACAGTCCAACACACGCATGTATTCGATGACAAAGAGTAATACAGCGATGAGTTGACAAAAAAAGAGCCCTTATAAATAGAGAGAGAAAACGGGAGGGATCTGCGTCCCTTTACATTAGCAACCAGAATACATGTCCATAAACAAGGTTCTTACCAGGCCGATAATTCATCGGGATCAAGTACCGAATTCCCGGCGCAAAATCGTCAAATCTCCGCATCCGGCTTCGGCGCCCCAGAAAATTCAACCCCGGACTATGACAATTGAACTCTGCCTAAACCAGTAAATTTAGCCGTAATTTTCTTCTGTTTCCTTCCCACTTGTGCTAAGTCCAAATGGCTGTTTGTGTTAATAAATACTCGCTTCCAAAGACGGAACAAATCCAGTCATTTATGAGGAAATTTCAAGTGTGGAGAGAGAGAGGAGAGAGTTTTTGAAATGATTCATTATATATATTAGGTATCATATTTTGCTACACTTATTTTTGGTATCATATCCCAGCCCTGCTAGAAAGCATCACACACATCTGTACGTCAAAGAAGAAAAAGAGAGAAACTTAAGGCTCCTCGTCGGCGTCCTTGCCCAGACCAGGTTGGTTCTGGCCAATGTACTCGGACTTCTTGAGCATGTTCCACTTGTCCTCGTCGGAGTCGAGGTGACGGAAGCAGAACCAGAAGGCAGCACCACCAACAAAGGCAATGCAGGCGACAGTGGTGTAGTTCCAGACCAGCAGGGGATCATCGGACAGAGGAGTAAAGGCCTCGCCAATAGCGGCGGAAACGGCGCTCATGAACAGGTTGACACTCATAACGAGAGACTTCATGTTCTCGGGGGCCTTGGAGTAAGCATACTCGTAGGAGGTGACGTTGGCAAAGATTTCGGCGAAACCAATCAGGATGTAGGGCAAGCACTGGGCCCAGACATTGATGGGGGCAGGAGGGCAGAGCTCCTCCTCGCCGTCGACGATGATGGTGCCGTTGGCGTGATCGCCGCAAGGGCTCTTCTTGTAGATGTAGTACTGCATGACAGCGGAGGCAACCATGGAAAGAGAGGCAATGAAGAAACCAGTGGTCATACGCTTGATGGGGGTGAAAGCGACGCCAATCTTGCGGAGACCGGGGTACAGGAGGTGGTCGATCAGGGGGATCATGATGACAATGGAGATGGGGTTCAGGTTCTGGATAATGTCGTTGGGGACACCGTGCAGCTCCATGGTACCAGCCTGGATGGTCAGGTTACCAGTCATCTGGTTGTAGGCCAGGAAGAAGACGGGCAGGAAGAGGAAGACCTTGCAGGCCATGAGACCACGGCGGACCTCGTCAACCCAGGCATCGTCGTAAGTCATCCACGCGGGTCGGTCAGAGATGGCGATGCGAGAGGGGCGAACAACGTCCCAGTCGATCTTGAAAAAGCCCTTTGACCTCTTGCGGGCATAGAAGAACATCTGCATGAACTTCTGGAGCAGAGATCCGGTAGGGGGCTGCAGGCGGTAGTTCTTCTTCTGGCTCCACAGGACGACGGGGGCGAGCAGAAACATGCCGGTAGGGATGAGGAAAGCAACCCAGAAGCCGACGTACTTCTCGACGTAGACCATGGCAATCTGACCGGCAAGAGATCCGATGTTGATGGCAAAGTAGAAGTAGAGGAAGATACGGGTGTTGGTGACGGCAGGGTCGATGATGACCTTCTCGCCAGAGGCAAGGGTCTCGACGCGCATGCGTCTATCTTCGTTCTGATCGGCAAGCAGGGGAGAGACGTTGGCCTTGAAGAAACCAGTACCAACGCAGAGGCAGATGAGACCAATGATGAAGGCGGCAAAAGCGCTGTCCTTCTTCACGATCACACCAGGAGCGGCAGAGGCGACGAGAATGACGTGGGCAATGGTGGAGATACCAATGGCAAGGTGAAGAGTCCAGAAACGACCCATGCGAGCATCAGCAATCCAGGCACTGTTTGTATAAAGTGTAAGTAACCCAAACAATTTGCACAGCAGAGCAAGACGAGTCAAAAAAAAAGGCTTACCCAACAAGAGGCATGATGTAGGCGAAGAACTGGTTGAACAAGCTGATGCCCTGAGCAGCCTTGGGGCCCATTCCCAGGGCACCGGGGAGGCCATGAGGAGCAGAGCCAGTGGTTGATCCCGGGGGAAGAGGGCGGTTCACAAAGTTTGTGTAGAGGACGGAAGATCCGTAGTAGGAGAAACGCTCGCAAAGCTCAACAAAGGCAATGGTGTACATGCTCCACTTGATCTTTCCGGAGACACGGCGCAGAGTGCGCAGCTCTTCCTCGGTAGGGAAGTCATCGTACTCCTCGTCGCCTCGGATGTCGACGGCGTGAGGGGTCTTGTCGTCAAAGCCAGCCGCGCGGTGGTCGGCCTCGGCAATGACATCGACGTCGAGGTTGGCAGCGTTGCTCATGGTGAAGGTAGGTTGAAGGGAACCTGGCGAGCTTCTAAGTGGCTCGAATTGACGACCCAGCAAATGAAGTGGGCAAGAGACGGATGGGCTTCGCAGCACAAGGAGAAGGAAAGGGAAGCCATTGAGTGTGAGGCCGAAGGCTTCACTTATATAGAAAACCCCGAGTCGATTGGGGGGGCGTTTGATGCTTAGCCGGCTGCGGAACAGGTACCCCAAACCATGCCATGTGCTGACCTGGCCTTGTTGGTCCCCGTATCGTATCTCGGTCGACTGGCGTGGAGGCGAAAACGAGGTCAACCTTGTTGCTAGTGTTAGTGTTGCTGTCGTTCTCCGTACTACAAGCACAACGCCAAACCAGACCCAACTCCGGTCGATACTATCCTCTCGGGCCAAGACTAGCAGCCGCCGGAGGGCGATACCACTTCAGGCGAAGCCGGTGGCAACTAAACAAAAGATCCCGGACCAATGCCGGGGCCACCAGGCAAGAAAGGGCCCCAAGTGGAGGTGGCGAGACGCCAGATTGATAGTGAAGAGGTGTGGGATTTACACGAGCTAATGCGGAGCGCATGGCATGGCGAATTGCCCGGATTGATGCTTGTTCGATTGGGGCATGCTGACCGCCATGGATGCTTGCATTGCACCCATACGAGTACATACGAGTTACTGTATCCCCCACAATGTAACGACGCCTGCAACACGGCCTCCTCCTCGGTTAATTTAGACTCACATGCCGTTGTTGGTTCCACGGCTGATCGAGGCTGTGGCTCTCGTCTTGCCCGAGCCGAAGCCCCAGATCTCTGCTACGATACGATATCACGCAGGAACAGCGTCAACGCCTGCAAGGGCCCTCTCGCTCATGGTCCCAAAACGACCCGGCGAGTTGGCGCGCCATACTAGCTGCCTAGCACCAGTTTCCAGTTTCGTTCGACACAGAGGAGAAAAGCAATGGATGGACCTCCTGGGGGGAAGCACACGACAAGCCATGTGATGGCGGCGGGGCAGCGACAGGTAGCCTGCTTGGCATCTAAGCGATGACACAGATATTGAGCCTGGCGAATAATCGCTATCTTGTTTCCTTGGCTGATGCCGCCGAGATCGATTACCTGCGAGTAGGAGTCTTCCGGGAGAGACAAGGCCATCCGCAAGCGTCGTGGCCCCCCGGGGAGGGATTTCAAGACGCATGCGACGCCTTGTTTGCTGAGCCCAACCCGAATGGTTGCAGGCTGCAGATTTTTCTCCGTGTAACCAAAACCTTAAGCTGGTTATGCTTTTTTCTATTCTTCCTTCTTTCGGCCGGGTCCGGCAATGGCAGAAACACCAACGGGAAATTCGCCGTAAGCATGGCCCAGCATGTCACCCTAGGCTGCTCCGGGCAAGGTGAGCGAACGGCTCTCGGTTTCGACTCGCTCATGCAAAGGGCGCCACTCTGCAAAAGTCCCTTGTCCCCCATCGTCAGGATGCCGCGGCCAATGGCATCGCCGGTATTCGCTTTAAGCTTGCTTCCTGACAGGGTCGACATGCGACGCTCCACAGATACCGGAGGGTCCCCCGTCGCTTTCTAATTTCAAGCGTAAAAGCTCAAATACCAAGGTTACTTTTAAGAAACATTCCAACGACTAATGGCACACCGAGCTTCGACGGGATTACTCGTAATGCGTATTAGTCGAGGTTATCAGCATTCCAGCCCCCGGATTGGTCTCGACTCCGGGAGGGCTCCGGAGCACGCAATCAGCGGCAGAGTCGAATAAGGCCGACCAAGAGTCATTCGGCCGGGAAAGGAGAAGCAAAAAAGACTTTGAGCCAACATGCTTTGCTTTGCTAGTGCTGGGCTGCGCTCGTTGTTCCTGGAACGCCTCAGCAGGAATTTGCCGTTGGTCTAAGCCCAAGAGCGGGTGGCGTGACGGAGTGCAGCCCGATAGGGGAACCAATGCTGGCAATCTCAAGGCGTTTTGAGGGGGGCCAGGGCAACAGTGTGGTCGAAAATAGCTGCGTGGCGGCCAGTCTAAGGATGCACGATGGGAAGCCATGTCCATGTGGCTCACGCAAAAGTCCGCCGCCAAGGGCATTTGGCGATACTCCAAGTGCTTGGTCTAAGAGCGCTACTGTGCCCATCGCGATCGACTCTTTGCAGCATCACCACTCATGATGGTTGGCAGTGAGGAGAAGGGCACGCCGTCCCTTGGGACTCTCCAATCTGATGGATGCAACCCTACCGAACCGCCCCGAGGCCCACAACGCTGAGCACCTAGTCATGATAACTCTCTCGTTGCACATGTTTATCTCGAGAATCATACGGGGTTTTGTGGGGCGTTTGCCACTGTTTTCAAAGCTTCTCGTAATGGCACGCTTTGTGTCAATCTTGTGATGGGGATGAAGAGCAATCTGTTAGTCAAGATATTGGGGAATATCTGGGGAGAGGCCGAGCTTCGTCCAGTCTCTTGGATTTTGACATCGAGGCGAGCCAAGAAATCTAGATTACCCCATACGGGGTAGAGGTCGCGTTTTCTTCAGCCAGTACCTGTCAGCATCAGCCATTATCATGATGCTACGGGATACAATCAACCGCATTCTCGTCGCAAACTCCTTCTGCCCCGACAAGATGGGCAAAAAGGCTATTTGGCTAGCGCACGGCGGCCAGAGACGGCTAACCATGGCACGTCGTTGGATTTGGGGTCTGAAGGGATTCTGCAGGTTGAGATCGAGACAAGGGGGCCCTCTTTGGACAAGTTCAGCCGCACCCTCTACTGCCTGAAAAGAGTCCATGTCATTTCGTCGTTGTTACCTGACATTGTCAGCTGTTGCAGCCTGGTGGGCGCATCATCGTCCTGCCTTATCAAGGCCAGTCAGTTGCTCATTGGTGCTAGCCGGATGCTTTATCACTTGGCAGAGCCTGCCTTGACTCCAGTCTCATACGAAGCCATCTTGATTCAGTACGAGTACGGGCTACCCGTTCCAAGCACTTCGCATGTAACAGTTAATATCAGCCCGGTCGACCACCTTTCCAAACATGGTTATAACAGAAAAGGCGCGCCAAGGGCCCTCAAGCATCTAAGTGGGGGGGAGGCTGACCAGACCTCAGCTGCTTCCGGCCAAGTCGCTCGGCCATTTGTTGTCCTCTAAGAACGCCACGAATGGAAGGCTTCGATAACATTTCTAGGCATGTCCGGGGTGCACGAAGAAGCGGGGATGGCGCATCTTTGGCTTCGTTAGAACACAATTTTGGGTGGTAGCGAGGCAACGCCGTCTCTTCTCTCTGAGGCCTCTCTGAGGCGTCCCCGAGGACGAAGCCAACGAAAGGTGGCGGTTCGCCGAACATTCGAACTTTGCCCCATTGTCAATCTTTCCGATCTGGCCAGTGAGAGGGCCGGCGCGAGCACACCCTCTACACCTCAGCTGAAAGTCTAACAGCAAAGTTGCGAGAGAAAACTCTGCTCGTGGCTTGGAGCCACCTTGGTTGATCGAGACAACAACCAACGCCCGCGATCAGCCTTTGAAACCACTTCACGAGCTTGATAAAACCTCAAACATATACGCTTTCCCTTCTTCGATACCCATCTCCGTTAGCAATACGGTTGGCTCCACAGTCCACTCCTTGGCATTTGGAGGTGAGTCTTGGTCAGATGTGATGAATGCACGGCACCACTTCTTCACAACATTAGCGTCTTGGAATGCTACATTAGCACAACGCGAGAAGGAGCATGAAATTTGGCTCGGAGATGTCATTCGATATGCGCAATGCGACCTTGAAACAGCCAACAGTTGCAAAAGGGATTGGCATTGCAGGCGATTGCGTCTGGCAAATTGCCAGAATCCGACACCAAGTGACGTTGACTTCAATTCCTAGGCAACGCAGCAACCTCTGCCGAGTTGCCTTTTTCTGAATCACCCACCAAATAAAACAGCATGGTTGACATTCTGCACTCCTTTTCAGCTGCATCTTCGGCGGACTTTAGCACGAAAAGCCGACCCCGTTGCCTTGACTGGTGTTTAATCCCGAAAAGAAATCACATATCCGGCCATTGTCGGACTTGATACCGGCAGCCCAAAGATATGTGTACTGCTACCTACAGTAGTGCTTCGTCCTGCGTAAACGATTCCATATTGGCAACATAATTTGGCTCCTAAAGACAGTCTTTCCCCGCTGTCTATGGAGTGACAGGCGAGAACCGGGCCTTTACTCCCGTCATCATTGACAGGAAGTATGACGGCTGCCCAATTTCCGGCGGTGTTGCCACCTCCACATCGAATCGTTCGAATAAGGCTGATACGATTTTGTACACAACCATTTCGGCCAAGTTCTTCCCGGGACAAGTCCTCGGTCCGCCGCCCCAGTTGAGATTATATCGGTCCATGAGGCGAATGTCCAAGGTCTCGCCACCAAGCCAGCGGTCCGGGTTGTAAGCATCTGGATCTGGTCCTATCACGACGTTTGCATTTCGATGCAACGCCACGGGGTTGCACCCGACTGTCGTGCCTCCCGGGATGAAGTAGCCATGAATACGTGAGCCCATATCAGGAACACGGCGAGGAAGCGACATGCTCAGGACGGGATGGAGGCGCATAGCCTCTCTTATTGCTGCACGCGTATACTGCAGCTGGCTTGTACCTGCGTATGATGAGGTACCCATGGCGTCCTGGATCTCTTCCTTCACTCTCTTCTGCACCCCGTCATGTGTGCCAACCATGGCGAAAATTGATGTCAATGTCGATGCCATAGTCTCATGTCCTGCTCCGAAATTGGTCACGGCCATTTTCCTGAGATAGCTCTCGGTGAAATCTGGTTTGTCTTTATGAAGCTGAATGAGATCCGCCAGCAGATCTGCCCGGTTATCTTTAGGAGCATTTAGTTTCAAGGCAGACTTGATTCTCCGAGAAATTCGCTTCCCCACATCCTATAAGTCTACAGGTAAGCAAGAGCCTGCTGAGGGCTAAGGCGCACTGGTGGCAACTCACGGGAAAGAATGATCTAAAGTTGGGCGAAGCAACATACTTCAGGTCCCAGACATCCCTGAATATCCACTCAAAGAGATTCGAACGCATTGTCAATTTGGTCAGAGTTGGGAAGAGACCCTTGACGCTCTTCATTCTCCAGCCAAGGTAACTGTGGGCGCTGGATCCCCAGTCTGTTCCTGCTTTGAGCAACCCTGGGGACCACGAGATGACTGAAGCTCCAAGACACTCCACGGCGATGATGTGCATCCACTCCTTCAGGTCTATCTCAGCACCATCGAGGGCTTCCAGTCGAGCAATCGCCTGCTTGATGACCTCGTCGACTGCTGCTTCGAACTTGGCCACATTGGCCGTTTGGTAAACTCGCCCAATTAATCGTCTTTGAAGGCGGTAGCGCTTCATGTCTCGCTCGGAAAGTAGATCCAAGCTATCGACAAAATGAGGCCGCAAGAAGCAATCGATCTTGGGTGTATTCAAACTGGTTGCCACTACAGCCACCAATTAGCAGACGATTACCATGACACTCCAGGCCAACATACAATAAAAGTCCGTCTTTTCAAATCCCTTTGTGCTACCTTTGAGAATCATCAGCTTCTCTATGTCAAAGCAGAGGCGTCATCCATACATCCTTTACGTACTGTAAATCTTGTCAAAGGCTTCTGGGCTGTTAAACCACAGTTCGTTGGGGCCCACCCGCACAATTTCGCCATATTTTCGGTGCAAAGTCCGGCCCAATTCAAACATGCGTCCATTTCGAGCGTGATACGCATGCCATATGTTGGAAACGGCGGCAAGTCTCGGACCAGGGATTCGTGACAGCGGGTGAAGAAACAGCCTATACAACACAATGGTTGAGATGCTCAAGAGCAGCAAACCAATGCTGTAGCACAGAGCCCAGATGGAAGCCCATATCAACTCGGACCCCATTTCCCACCCATAGCACATTCAGCTGATTAAATAACGAGACGATAGGCAGTCGATATGTCCCATAGCTCGTGGTATATTTTGTCGCTTTTGCAGAACACATTTTGAGAGCTTTGGAAGCTGTGGAAAGCCTCATCATTAAGCCCGGTTTTCCGCTTAGTAATCTTTGTGGGCTAATTCGCTAAATCGAATTTTCAGTGTTCGCTGCAGGGTAGGTATTGGTGCCATTCCTCATCACAACAATTTACTGGAATGGAGATTCTCAAAAAACAAAGGGCATATTAATTTGAGGTGCAGTTGTTTGCAATATTTAATTTACTTGTTTTTTTTGTGCAGTAGCATTACCAAGGTATACCACAGGGCGTTGGGCTTAGATGTGGACATCCTTGATGAAGAATTGAGTGTTTTATATCATGCTAGATACCAACTCAGGCTTATACCAGTATCGTAAATGGCCAACAATTCAAAGAACAGAAAAGAATTCCCATTGTAAACGGCATTTGGGACAGCTATTGCCCTTTCTAAGAATGGTTCGTAAATAAATATGTAACTACTTCATCATGGTCACTGGAGTTGCAAACAGTTGATGATCAATCTAGTATATCATTCTATTAAAAGGTATCCATCTAAATCGCTGCAATGCTAGGTACAATCATAGCATGTCTAACTTTCTCATGCTTTTAAACCATGTGAAATGGGTATCTCGACAAATAGCGCCTCGCTCAAATGCCTCCAGCGTCTACCGTCATTTTATTTCGTCACTGCATCACTGAGAAGCTTCTTCCTTTTTCTTCTGTTTACGTTCTTCCTTTGCCTTCTTCTCAGCCCTCCAAGCAATGCCCTTTGCCATGATGAGCAACATTGGCAAGGCGCAAGCAAGGTAAATGAAACCGAGCATAGTAAAGCTCCAGCCTACGCCAATGGCGTTTATCAGGGGAATGATGGCCGCACTGGCTCCAGCTCCAACCAGGCACCGGGTAAAGTTGTTTGCAGCGGTCGCCGTGCCGGCCTTTCCGGGGTGAATGTCGACAAGCAAGGTGTTGGCCGTGTTGTTGAAGCCAATCATGCCGATGCCTATCAGGCAGCTGACGATGCAAGGGACAGAAACATGAACGACATACTCCATAGCCCACCCCCAACCAATCAGGGCGAGACCACTAACACCAAGCAACGGGAGTCCAATCTCTAGACGCACACGCTCAATGGGAAAGTTGGAGAGATCCTGCTGGCGGCTGCGGTCGAGAGGGATGCCGAGCTTATCGCAGTGTCTCTTATAGTTCCAGTTGATTCCAGGACCGACTATCGAAGCGGCGAGAATCGATCCCAAGGCCAACGGCAAGTACATGAGTCCCACTGTGATCTCGTCATATCCATACGAGTTCTTGAAAAGAGTGGGCATTGCGGAGGCAATACAGTAAAACCCGGCAAAGATGAGACTGCTGGTAGCAAGGAGCAATCCGGTCTCCTTCTCTAGCAGCATAAGTAGAGAACCCAAAACGTTGGGCGGCTTGAATTTGAACGAGTTTTCTGCAGGGGGAGCTTTACGACCCTTGTTTCGATGTGATGTTAGGACCTGCCATCCTGATCTGTACAGAGGCGGTGGGTAGATTGAGCCGTCGCCGACAATATGGCGGCATGTCTCTGGCAAAAACATGGCAATGAGGATCACGGCCACTCCAGCCATTATGGCCAGGAACCAAAATATAGACCTCCAGCCAAGCGTCTGAGACAAGGCGCCTCCGATGATGGGACCAAGGGTTGGGGCGAGGACTGAAGGCACAGCAGTGAAGCCGACATATTGGCCTCGCTCAGCAGATGTAATAACATCGGCCACAACGCCCATACACAGCGCTACAGTAGTGCTTGAACCTGCCGACTGGAGACACCTGAGACCGAGAATAGCACCATAGCTGGGGGCTAGAGCAAGACCAATGTTGGCGCCAATGTATATCACAAAGCAGACGATGTATGCCGGTCGCCTCCCACCACTGTCCGCCAGAGAGCTGAGAAACATGGGGGTGATGCCCTGAAAGATCATGTAAGTCGTAATGGTGAGGTTGATCTGGGCGCTTGAAACATGAAGCTCATCCGAGAGCTGTGTCAATGCTGGCAAGTAGATCTGAGCTGATATGGGAGAGAAGAAGGCCGTCATGGCGGACCCAAGAACCAGTATTCGTTTCTGCCATAACGTGAAGACGGAGTATTTTGGGGGAACCGTTTCCTCTACTGGCGCGGGTTGTTTTTCTGGGTCGGCGATCTCAACCGAGAGTCGGTTCTTCTCCGACTCTGAAGCGCTTGTCGTATCTTCTGGTGATCCCATGACGCCTATACTGACGATGTTGATCTCATCTCCTGCGGAGGTCTAAGAGTTGACAGTTGGAAGCTGGCAACTTATACTCGGAAAAGAAATCCCAAAGTCGGGGATAAGAGCAGAGGAAGAAACCAAAACCACTTGCTTCTCCATTTCTATCGGTCAGGGTTCGGCTTCGGCACCAATGCGCCGTGAAGATGTCGCCGCGCTCGGTGCCGAGATCGGCAAAATAGCTCAAAAAGGTAGGTAAACCGCTTCTCTACAGGTTCTTTTGTGGTCCAAAGCACGACGGGAGCTATCCGCGTATCGGACGCCGATTTTGCCTTGCCGAGAGATAGATAACTGTGATGCCGACCGAGGAGGATGCAAGCCGAGTCTTGGATGACTACATATACTTGGTTTGTGATCTTGAAGCCATACCACGATTCTGACGGCCCGGCACTGCGCTGACCAGCTTCTCAGCTCTGTTATCTGCTGGACATGATGTAAATGGACTATTCCAGTTGTCATATCAAGGCTTTGTATTGTATTGACAGATGTATATTTTCGTCTGATTCAACATCGCCAAGTCGGACCTTTTCCGCGTGTTGATGCAGATGACCGACTCCACCAGCCGCGATCTCGATCCACCGAAAGGAAGAGCTACAGAAAAAAAGATACATGCCGTCGGTACCTCTAGCCTCTAGCGCAACGGCATGGAAAAACCACTGGTTCCGTAGATTTACAGCGATGTGTCCACTAAGCAGGCGCCTATTATGAGCCTTGGTGGATGAATAGCTCAAGGGGGCATCAGAGTGTAAGTCCTGCATCCACAAGTCTTCAAGTTCGTCAAGATGGTAAGTGGGAAATCAGGCTCACGATAAAGTATATGACTATTTCTTTTTTTAACTATACTGATAAACGCCCCCCAGAATGTCGCATACAACACAGTGCTGCGGCAGAGCAAGGCCATCCGCAGTGACCTCTCCAACCTCGAATCCAAGAACCTCCCAACGCCCGCCGAGATTGGAAGCGTGTCCGTGTCCCTGACGTCCTTTTCAAAGTCGCTCGACGAATACCACAGCCTTGCGCGCCAGGAGATTGTGCCCAAGAAGCAGGAGGAGGCGTATGAGCGTGTCAAGAAGTTTCGCGATGAGCTGTCAGAGTTCCGTGGCAGCCTCGATGTGGTGAGGCGGACTAGGGAGGAGGCACAACACAATCACAACCGGTCGGAGCTGCTGGGAAGAAGACCATACAATGCTACGCCGGAGAATCCTTACGCCAATGCCGCCGGAACGACGACGCATTCATCATTCCAGCCCCGACATACCAGCTCGAATAGTACTTCGCTGACGACGGGCGCTGGCGACGAGGTGCGCGAGGCCCATGCTTTCCGAGAACAAAACTTCTTTAGCAATACGAACCATGCCTTGGACGACTTCATCGCGCGCGGACAGGCCGTGCTGGGAGATTTGGGCCAGCAGCGCGAAACGCTGAAGAACACGCAGAAGCGTCTGTACGGCGTTGCCAACACGCTGGGCGTGAGCGGCGACACGATCCGCATGGTCGAGCGCCGCGCCCGCGAGGACAAGTGGATATTTGTCGCGGGTGTCATTATATTCTTCTTGTTTTGCTGGCTTGTTCTTCACTTTTTACGATGATGGGACTTTGGCATGTGGAGAGGCGCTCTGGCGTTTGGGTATGGATATCAGGAAGCAAAACTGGCCGTTCATAATTTCTTTGGAAGCTATCAAAAAGATGGTGCAATATCATTCCCAAGCACATCCTCTATCCGTCCTCCTCGCCCTCGGTATTGCTCAGCGCTATCGTGAAGAGGACGTCCTTTGTCGTTTGCACCTCGACGACCTTGGTTTCCGGAAGAACATGGTTGCTGGTGCTAACTCTGCCGCCCATTCGCGTTTCCCAGTCGGTGACATCCCACTCCAGTCCCTTGGTTGTGATGCGGCTCGGCTCCTGGAGCGGGATGATTCCGACGTGCTTGCCAAACACCTCCTCCTCACCATCCTCCTTGACCTGGATGCGATGAGTGCCAGCCTTCAGGAGAAAGGTCAAGCTGGACCCGGAGAGAAGGTAGATGCGGCCATCTGCATACGCGGCATCGGGCTGGAAGAGGTAGAGGTGGTGAAGCTGACTGAGGCCCTGGTCAATACGGCCGCCAATGCCACCCAGGGCGATGATGTCGGTTCCGGCGGGCTGCGTCTTGCGGATCCAGGTGATGGCCTTGCCAAAGTCGGTGGTTTCTTGGTCGGTATCATGGATGATCTGGGCGGGGGTGTGCTGGGAGGTGTAGAAGTTGTGGACTGAGGGTCTCAATGAATCGAGATCGCCAATGATGACTTGAAGGTTCGACTGCAAATAGGTATATTGTTAGGCACGGCTCGTAATCATGTGACGATGGTCTCTCCAAGAATGACAAGCTCAGGAAACCAATGATGAAACACAGCGTGATGAAAATAGAGGGACAACTCACAAATTTGCCCTGAAATGAAGAAAGCTCATGAAGACGATTGGCGCCTCCGTCGGCAGCTACGCGGAGAGATGCTGTGTGTCGAGGGTAAGCATTTTTTCTCTTCTCATTTCTTGCGCCTGGAGGGGCGATATTTGGACATACAGTGTCTCCAAAGCTTGCGCAGGTTGCTGCTATTCTTGAGCGGCTGGTTGAGCACCAGGAGGGCAAAGGGCTGAGGACTCGGCTGGTCCTGCAGAAACCTGTTAGGCTGCCACTCGAAGACCGAAGCCATCACGCCGGTTGTCTTTTTGTTTGTTTGTTTGTTTGTTTGCTTGCTGGTGCTTTGGTGGCGGAGGGGGAGCTGCGAGGATCAGAGAGAAAAGGGAACGTAAAGGGCGTTGAAGAGTTGAGGATCAAAACTCATGCGCATATGACGAAGAGGGGCGCTATTTATCAAAGAATTTAAAAAAGAACCACCAGCCACTAATCTCGCTCCCCTCCAGGTTCTGTTGCGAAAAAAAAGGGAGTGCTGAGCTCGCCCGTACGACCTGGGATTTCAGCTCGTAAAAGGGAGCTCAGCTGCGATGTGAGCAATGGCCTCAAGTCAAAGCTCACCACCTGCGACAGGCCCTGGCAAGCTGCTGAGCACGGAATCCTGCAGGTACCAGAAGGCTCGTTTCAAACGAGTGGCTTAGTCAGGAGGGAACTGCTGCAACTGGAATGTTTGAGACAAAGAGAAAAATAAAATAAAAAGCAAGAGCTGTTTGAACGAGAGTTATTCTGTAAAGGTTCCTCTTTTCTTTTCTTTTTTCTTGTTTTATTGCTTTGCAAGCTACGGTACTAATCTTAATTCGCTGCCCGCATTATCGAGGCCCTGCATGCAGGCACCTACTAAGATACATGTAACCTTAGCTGGGCTCGCAGATCTCCGAATGTCACATGAGCGCAAACAAAGTACCTCCAGCTTCCAGCCCAGTCAGGCAGTTGATCGCCTTGCTGTTTGCGGCCTGCAATGCGCCCAGCTCAGCCCAGCTCAGGCCATCTACGGGCTGTATTGCGGGCTGTATTGTGGTCATTGCGGTAATACATTCAGCGCATTGATTCAATTCCATAGCATTGATGGAGCTGAGCATGGCCCACAGCGGCAACATGCCTGGATAATCCTCGGCCAAACATTTTTTTTTCTCACAGGCGCAAGCACTTTCTTGGCCCGGACTTGGTTGGAGATGGGCTCGGTTCGCTGACCAATCTGGCGATTTTGTCATGGAGCCGATCCAGCTCTTTTTTTCCCGCGATTACATATCCAGCCTGCGCAGGCATTGCTGCTGCTTTCCCTGGTCATCTTCCTCCTCTTCCCCTCATTGATCTTCCCAGCTTGTCCACACGCATCAATCACTTCGCCATCATGTATCGTGCAGCTCTGAGAACGGCCTCACGGCCCGCTGTTGGCGGTTTGCGCTCTTCTCTGGTCCGGACGGCGCCCCGGCGATTTGCCTCAACGGCTCCCGCAGACAAGTCTCGGTCATGGAAGAGCTCTGCGGCTCGGTGGGGGTTGGCGGTTGCCGGAGTCTACTACTACAACACAAGCTCCGTCTTTGCGGACGAGGCCGAGGGTATGTCATGATATGATATTCGTCTCTCGCATGTAAGTTGTCGTGGTGGCGTTGCTAATTCGTTGGAGCAGCTCACGCCCTGCCCATCCCTGCGCCCTATACCGAAAACGAACTGCCCACCGTCGACGCCCTGATCGAGCAGAAGCGAAAGGAAGTCAGCCCTAAACCTGTTGAGGCGGCTACCAGGAAGACAGAGGCCCCCAAGACGGAGGCTGTCAAGACCGACGACAAGTCAGAAGCACCTGCTCAGAGCGCGGCCGGCTTTGGTGGACCTGAGGCGCTGGAAGAGGAGGCCAGCCAGGAGGGAGCCTTCAACCCGGAGACTGGAGAGATTAACTGGGACTGCCCCTGCCTGGGCGGCATGGCGCATGGTCCCTGCGGAGAGGAGTTCAAGACTGCCTTTAGCTGCTTCGTGTACTCTACCGAGGAGCCCAAGGGCATGGACTGCATCGAAAAGTTTCAGTATGAACAGCCTGGGTGATGTATACCAAAACGAGAGACTTTGACTGACAGTGTTGTAGGGGCATGCAGGAATGTTTCCGAAAGTACCCGGAGATTTACGGCTCCGAGCTCGAAGAGGCCGACGCTGCTGAGGCCGAAGGCGGCGAGGAGGCGGCGTCTGCTGCTCCTGCTGTAGCGGTGGCAGCCCCCGAAGTCGCCGAGGCCGTCGAGGCCATCGCCGAAGACCGACAACAACTTCGAGAGAACGGCCGCGTTGGGGGTCGTAACTCGGATGCCGCGGAGACGGACAACCTCCCCGGAGTCAAGCTGGTCAAGAGCTCACCCTCAAGTTTGACCGAGGTTGTCGGGGAACAGAAGAAGGAGAACTAAGGGCGAACGATGAAATGAAGAATAGAACAAAATAAAATAAAAGGGCGTGGGAGAAGATGGACGGAGCAAAAAGAAGGCAATCGATCCCATGGGATTGTCTTCAGTGTATTCTAAGCAGGCACCTTTTGGCAAAAGGGGCTTGATGTATCCAACGCTGTATGAATGGGTGCGGAAAACAGGGCCAAAGGACGGTAGACGGCTCGCATCTACATTGTATAAACTAGGGGAGTATTTACGACATTCAACTTTGCATTCTAGATCGTGATGTAGCTCAGAACTGGGTAGCATGAAGCCAAAGCATTGAAAAGTGACGCCAAAATCATGCTCAATGTCATGCACGTAATGGTACTCCTCATGCTGAAATCACTCTAAAGCACTTGTACGAATACAACTTATGCGAAAAGCCGCAATGATCAAAACCTCCAACGCCTTCTATCCATCCAAGCCAGATGCCAAATCCCGCTTCGCTTGTCAATTTTGTCATGCCACCGTACTCGCGCCGTTTTGCGTAGGGCCGGGATCGTAAAACTTGAGCATGAGATACTGCGGCTCGCCCAACCTCGCCCCCTCGGCGACTTGTCTGAACCCCAGCGACTTGTACAGCTGCTGGCCCAGGGGAGACGATATGATCCATATGCCCGTCTTGTCTTGATCTGCCCGCTGCATTCCCCACCGCGTCATCATCTTGCCGATGCCGATGCCTCGATAGTCGCCGTCCACTGAGATGGAGTTGAGAGCTACATGTATGGTTAGCCATGTTGTTCTTCATATCGTAAAACACCAACACAAACTCACTCCACATCTTATGCCGGTTCTCTCCCTGAAACGCATCCTTGGACTTTTCAATCAGCTCCATGACCTCGTCGTTGGCATCCAGCAACGCGCCCTTGTCCAAGAACGGCGGCAATCTGGCCAGCCTCAGCTCCATGTCCTTTGCCTTTTCCTCCGCGCTCTTCCCCTCCTCCTCGTTATCGCCAGACTCCCACTCGTCCACCGCCGGCGCCGACCACTCTGCGCACCCGACAATGATCTCGCCCTCCTCGGGAGCTTCCGTCAGAACGACGAGGTAGTGCAGGTTCGGGTCCGACAGGCCGTTGCGCATGCGCGAAATGTTCCACTCCAGCTGGTCCTGCGTGCCGGGCTTGGTGCGCAGCCGCTTGGGGAACATGGCCTTGTGCATGGGGCTGTCGAGGAAGGCGGCGACTTCGAGGGCGGCCATGGCGGGGACGTCTTCGTCGCGCGCGGGGCGGAGGCGGAGGGAGTGCATGATGGAGTTGAGGCGGGATTTCGATTTGGATTTGAACGGCAGCATAGGCGGGGGAGAGAGGGAAGATGAGAGAGGTGAAATATATATGCGTAGGTGTGTGTTGTGTTGGGTTTGAAGGGGAAACAAGTAAGTAGGCGGGCTTTTTGGTCTAGCTTTATATCAAGGGGGCTGTTTCGGTATGTTCGGCTTGGCTACGGGTTGTCTGGTCGAATCTTTGCAGATTTCTTTCTTTTCTTTTTTTCTCCTTGGTATTAAAATTAGTAGATGAATTATTTATTGCTTGTTTGTAGGTTGTTTCTATGGGGTATCGTGAGCTGACACTTGGTGTAGAGATGGGCCAAGGGAAACGCTGATGGGCTTCGTGAGATGATGACGATGACGTCACATATTTGGCGCGGCTTGGTGAGCATGTGAACGAGCTGTGCGGCCTTCGGGATGCACTGTCCCACGAAATGGACGAAATTCAGTGTACGTGGCTGATGAGGCGAGCAAACAATGAAGGCAGAGATGAAGATGGTTTTGATTAAGTATTGTATTTTATGTTCGTTATTTGAGTATGTAGCGGCCAGTAACAACATGTGACGGTGGCCATAAAACCAGAGATGAGATACGCGTTCAACAGCTAAGCTCTCCCTTGATCCCAAACGCCCACACCGAAAGCAGAAAACAAATTAAAAAAGAAAAGCAGTCATTCAATCTTTGACCGTTGCATCGGCTCTTCATGAAGAATCCTCCTCCTTGCTTCTGTACAGGTACCGTCCAAGCACCGCCTCCACAGCGCCAACAGCGGCCAAAACTCCAAAGCCAACGCCCACATGCTTCCAGTCCAGCCGGCTCCTCTCATAAAGGCCCCACGCGCGATACCCCAGGAAGCCGCTCACACCCACGACGCCAAAGACGTTGGCAATGGCAATGGCCGTGACGCTGCCGTCGGAGAGCTGGGAGAACTGGCGGTTGATCCAGGAGTCGGCCTTTCTGGCCTTGCTGGTGGCCTTCTTCTTGGATGCCGCCTGGGCGGCGCGGGCGGCCTCTTGCTCGCGCTTGATGCGCTCGGCTTGCGTCTCGGTTTGAATGTCCTGCTCGAGAAAGTCTGATCGGACGGTGTGGACGCTGGGCATGTCGACGTCGATGAGAGATGCCGTGGAGGCGGTTTCACTGGGGATGATTTCGGGGGGCTGAGGGGCGGCGGCCTATGACATCAGCGGTTAGAGCGAGTGCTAGCATTGAAGAGATTCGCCTCTTTTTTCCATTGTTTTTCTTCTTCTTTTTTGTTCGAGAGGTGTATCTGCTTGGGAGAAAGCGGTTTGCTAGGCTCGAGTGAAGCGTACCTCTTCAGGGGTCTGTCTGGCACCCTTTGCAGCAGCGTCGGCGTAAGACACTATTCGCAGCTCATGGTTAGTGACGTGATCATCTTACAGTGTTCTGCCGTGCTAGCCAGCTTCAGTAAGAAGCGTCATCACTTACTGGTGAATGTTGTTCAATTGAAAAAAAAAAAAAATGCTAGAATAGCGATTGCGTTGAATCTCTGGCGAGGATTTTGGTGAGGCTTTGTTGATTTAGCTTTGTCGATCTGAGAGAATCTAGAAAAAGGGGATTCAATGCCTTAAGTACCAAGCCAAAAAGCCAATTGAGCTCCTTCATGTGACGCAAACACAAAGTCACGCCTAAAGCCGGACTAAAATCATGTCTCAAACCGTGATGATGACGTATGCGGCTCGACCTCGGCATCGCAGATCGTCTCGTGCCTTGGCATGACAAAATGGCTTCCATTACGCCATTACATCAACCGGACAGGGGTTTTATGCATGTTTTGGAAATTAAAAAGGGCTGCAAACACCGTGTTTGTTGCTTTAGCGAAAATAAAAAGACTCATTGGAGGGAAACCAGAGCGTTTTCCAGTTGCGAGAACACACCACTGGTTCGGGCCAAGATTCTGCTCTCTTGGCAGCCCACTTTGTTCTTGCATCTCTGCCGGCGCATTATGTACTCGCAAGGTCCGCCTCTCCATACACAGCATTGTGAGCTAATTCTTCACAATTCATGCTTCGCGGAGCCAATCGAGAGAGAGCCTTCTGATTAGACGAATGGTCAAGAAGACGGAGAATCGCATCACTTCGCGCCGTCATCGCATTGTGTTCAACGCTCCCCTGTCCACACACATCCAAGTTCCAGTTCAATCGCAGGTTTCAAAATTTAATTGGGTTAATACAAAAGAGCTATTCATCTCAAATGACGGATAAACCTCCCTCAACTCATCGTCGTGACAAATAAATGGCTTGTGAGCCCGAAAGGTATATGGTGAAGAACAAAAAAGAAGAAGATGAAGATGAAGTTGAAGATGTGAAAAAAAAAAGGTACAAACAAGAAGTGGTTTCATGACAGCGAGTCAACATGAATGCAATAACACACAACGCCATTCGGCCGTCCGTATTATGTATAACGACAACAACAATCTTCGCTGAAATGCAAAAGTGATTCCAACGCCGCGAATCGGGGTATCATGGTATCTCTCAACACGCCTCTTCCACATGAGTCCTCGACACCATCACGCCGCTAAAAAGTTTAAAATTTCCAACATCAAAAACTGCTCCGTCTCTGGTCTTTGGTACAAAAAGAAAAAAAAATATTCAGTTTCATGGTCCTGGTTTGCCAGGGCCAGATGGGGTATCTTTCAAGTCGCTCTGTCATTATCCGAGGCCGCGAAGTCGTTTGACCCAGTGCTGCCTCAGATGCAACGGCATCTTGCAAAACACCATGGCCTTGTGCTCGTCGTTCAACACCTTCTCGGAGATTTTTATCTGCACGTCTGCGTCTTCGGTTGCGAATTCTTTGAATAGTAGGTCAACAGCTTCTTCCCTCCACATACGCGCCCTGCTCGCCTTTGATAGAGAGACAAGCTCTTCCAAGATGGACTGGAGTCCGGCGACTTGAGCTTCTGGACGCGATCGAGGCTCGACTGTGGATCTGGTGCCCGGGACCGGGAGAGCAGACGATCCAAGCAATGGAGTGGCTGCGCTTGTATTGGAAGTAACATCGTCCCGGGACGACAGTCGGCGGCGCTTTTCCGGCGAGGTTGGCAGTGCTGATTGTGGGATAGCCGCCCCAGAGGTTGACTGAGCAAGGTCGCCGGCAGACTGTAGGGGGCCCATAGGCGAGGGGCGCTTTCGGCTCTGGGGAACCGACTCTTCAGGAGGCGTCAGGGCTGCGCCCTGTCCGGCGGTGAGGTTGCGAGGTATCGAAGGCGCTGTTGTCGGTCGTTGCTGAGTTCCAGAAGCGGATGAAGAAGCTGCCGACGCTTGATTCTGCGGGCTCTTGTGCGGCGGTTGTTGGCTCGGCACGTCGGCGGTGTCTTGCACGAGCGGTGTCGGGTCGGTTTGCAGATTCAACACGCCAGTCCCTGGCATCTCCGAGTCGTCGCAAGGCTGGCCGTCAGTCTTTCGTCGAGGCTTCATGATTCTCTTGGGAGCCCCCCCCGACCCAACCACGTCCGGATACAGCACCTCCATGTATTCCTCGTGGTCAAAGGGCCTCCCCCTGAGGGCTCGCGACAAAGGCTCTCGCTACGTCCCTATCAGTAACCCGAGTTTTCGGCGTGTGGGCGAGCCGTGTGGCCCCCAACTCACCTCGATATGCGCTCTCCATGCCTCCTCGGTCGCCGTCACCGTCCTCGACACGGGGTTGTAGATGAAGTCCGGGTCCTCTCGAAGGCCTCGCCACAGTCGAAAGCGTTTCCGAGCATTGTCGCTCTTGTTGATCAGGTGGCTTTTAGCCGGGTAAGCGCCGTGGTGTTCCTGCAGGGCCTGGGCGGCGCGCTCCCAGGCCTCGGCCTTGAAGCTGCTGTTTTCTCGCATGCCCAGCTGGACGCTCTCGCACAGGCTGCGGAAGAAGGTGGCCTCGTAGGCGGGCGTCCAGCTGAACCTGGGCGCCCGGCGGTCGCGGTCGACTCGGCCGGGCCCTTGGCCGTCGTGGCCGGCGAGGTCGATGTCGTCTTCAGACATGGCGGGCTGAGGCTGAGGTTCAGGCTGAGACGAGACGAGACGAGACGAGACGGGAGGCCGAGGTTCGGAATCGGGGAATCGGATCGGATTCAGGTGCCCAGTCAGGCTGGACACGGACAACGACCCCCAGCGGCGGCCCGTGAAAGCAGCAGCGGCGGCAACGGCAGCAGCAGCAGCGACTTTCAGGCAGCCTTTGGGGAGCTTCTCAGGATCCTTTTTTTTCTGCCCTCGAGGCGAGAGAGTCTGGGTCAGCGCCAGGCGAGAATCGTGACCTGCCGCATACGGGTCGGTGGGGGGAGTCGGGTCGGGTCCCTTGGCGTGGGCACGTCGTGGGCTGGCAAAATGCAGGAAAAAGGGTCACGTGGAGGTCCCTTTTTCGCCCGGGTCTCCCTCAGTCTCCATCGCGCGCCACGTACTTGTACACACGGAAAAGTTGCACAGGAGATGGAGGCTCTGAAACCGCAGATTGACGGATGCCCGTCATCGTGTGATGCGCTGCGCTGGACAGGATTGGATTGGACTGCAGGCGGACTGGACTGGACTGGATGGACCCTTGGGCCCTTGGACTTTGGGGGGGCCGCTGGCTGGCTGGCTGGCATGTCCATGTACGAGTAAATGACATGTACCCAGTACTTGGCACCTACAAGGGCCTGCGCCGGCTGCATGTGCGCTGTTGCGGGCTCTGGCGCGGGCTCTGGCAGGCGCTGATACGCTGACAGCGCGGCCCGCCAGGGCGTGATTTGCCGCCGCGGACACCGCCAGTCTGCCGGGCTGGCGCTGGCCGCAGGTACCGGGTACCAATCACTCGCTGGCCGCGCCGATGATCTGCCTTTGACCGATTTTGATGTTTTTCGATGCAATTTGTTGATGACGGGACGTCAGACCTGGATGGATCAAAGGACGAGACGCAGCCGTTGCTTATGTACTGCCGTGCTTGCAGCTACACGTCATAACGTGGACATGGGTGCGCCTAATCGTGTATCTTGTATCTAAATATTATTACTACTCTAGTATTTCTACCTCTTGGCCTCGTCTCCGTCCATTTCTATTTCGTGTCATCAGGCAGGCTCATGTGACGTTTCGTCTTTCATCCACATTGTGACCATCAATATTAACATCTCTATCCATTTGACCCAATATAGCCATGCTAGAAACAACGGTATGGAATGTGATTCACATTTATCATGTCATTACAACATGGCAACGGCACCGGCAATGAGCACGGCAGCAGTCACCATTGGCCCGGCAGCAGCAGCGGCAGCGGTGCTAAACGAAGTCGTGGTGGCGGTCGTTACGGGACGTCCAGATGCGACCGGAGTCGAGCTTGTAGCAGTGGTTTGAGGAGCCGCAGTTGAGCGAGCAGAAGAAGATGTCGTTTGCGGAGCTGAAGTCTCAGATGCTTCGGACGAAGAAGAAGAAGAAGAAGAAGAAGAAGAAGAAGCGGCAGGCGATGTCGTCGTAGTCGTGTCGGCGGAGGTGGCAGATGTAGACTCGGTCGGTGCAGCAGCAGTGGCAGAAGCAGACTCAGTGGCGGCAGAGCAAAACTGAATGGCAGCAGGGAGCACTTTGTCTGTATCATCTGAGTTAGTTTGTCTGCGTCGAAGTCTCTCCTCCTTCATCAACTCTTATGGTAGACTTACCGACGGAGACATCGGCGCCGCAGTCCTTGAGCACGCAGGAAAGCTCTGCGTTGTAGATGGCCTCGTAGTTGCTCTGCACGCAGAAGCAGACTGCATCGCCCAGAGAGCAGTCAGTAGCAGAGGTGGTTCCCTGCTCAAGACAGTTCAGGGAGCATTCCGGAAAGTAATCCGACAGTTTCTGCGCAACCACACCGCCGGCCATTGAGGCGGCAAGGAGGAATGAGGCAGTCTTCATTATAGCGATTGATTGATAACTGGAAAAGAGGTAGCTTTTCAACGAGGAATCGAGGGATCAGAGTTAGGATTTTATCTGGTAAACAGAAATAGAGGAGGAAGAAAAAAATCTTAATGATTTCGAAAAGCAGGGGACCGGCTACATATATGCAACTCGGACAGCTGTCTAAATCGAGAACTGTCTAAATCCCGCGTGCAGAAGCTCACACCAAATCGACGGAACCTTTGTCCTGAGTATCCGAGCTCTCTCTAGACCTTCGGCCTCGACCTAGGCGGATTAACCTTATCCAATAGCAAGTGCCAACAACCAGCAAGTCTCGCGCTTCTAGTGCAAGGATTCCCAAGCCGAAATCGCTCCAACATGCTGCTCTAGTTTCACATGCAGTTTGGCAGCTTCCTCGCCAAGCCGTGCCGTGCCAGCACCGGCTCTCAAGCTAACAGACATTTGGCGCTATACGAGAGTTGAAGCTCGGCGGCTTTGCTGTAAGCGGCAGAATGGTGTGAAGCTGGTGGGGATGATCAGATAAAAATTTTTATCAGATCATCAGATAAGATCAAATCATTGGATGCCATCCCCGACCTGCATGCCGAGGATTGCGCAAAAGAGGGGGGGCCGCGCTTTTTAATCCTTGCCGTGCCTACATGTACCCTTGCTCTTTTTTTCTGAGAGAGTTAAATCGCTGTTTTCTTCGCACACCGATCGCTCTCCGAGAGGGATTTTCGACTGTTTTTCTTGCGATGTGACCCTGTTGGTTTCGATCGCGTTATGCCAACGTTCCCGCCGCCCCGATTTCTCTTGGTTTTCATCTGGTCTGAGTCATGTAGTTGTTGGTACTGCCAAGACTCGCCGTCACATGGGATAGCTGGGTTGTGTAGATATAAAAGGCTGCAAAAGCCGGGCTCTCGCCCGAAAAGTGTCTAGCTTAGCCACTTTCTTTTCTCAGCTCTGGCCTTTCCTCGCTATTCAAATAGTTCCTGAGCGGGACATATCCCTCATAATGGGCTTGTTCTCCAAGACTACCCCTGAGGGGGACGTGACTGCTGTTGCTCCAGAGGTTGCCGATGAAAAGGGCAGTGGACAGAACAATCCCGTGGAAAATTCCGACTTCAACGATGACTTGGAGAAAGATGCGCAAGGGGGTGTCCAGAAGATCGAGGCTGCGGCCCAAGTATGGACCAAGTGGCACATGGTTGCTGCCTATGTGATGTACGATAAGGGTTTCAGCTTATGGGAACATCACAGCTTGCTAACATTGGCATCACTGCAACAGTATCTGGCTTGTTTACTTCGTTACATCGATCGAAGAGGTCGTTACCGGCGCTCTCAACCCCTTCGTCACCAGTTCTTTCCAACAACACTCCTTGACCGCGGCTACCGGTATCATGGCTAGTTTGTTCGGTGGACTGACAAAGCTTCCCTTGGCCAAGATCCTCGACACTTGGGGTAGACCTCAGGGCTTGCTTCTCACTCTGTTCATTTGGGTGATTGGATTTATCATGATGGCTGCTTGTAACAACGTCGAGACATATGCTGCCGCTCAAGTCTTTTCATCCATTGGGTAAGTCCTATCATTACCTTACCTTCAGCGATTCTCGTATTTGACTAACCATATTCGCATCATTCAGAGCCCAAGGCGTCAGCTACTGTATCACCATCTTCATTGCCGACACAACCTCCCTCCTCAACCGATCCCTGATGCTTGCTTTTGCAACATCTCCCTATATCGCGACAACCTTCGCCGGCGGACCAATCTCGGATAGTGTCATCGCTGGAATTGGCTGGCGATGGGGCTTTGGAATATGGGCCATTGTGACCCCGGTCGTCGTCGGACCCCTTGGGTTCCTCTTCATCTGGAACCACGTCAAGGCTCGTAAGCAAGGGCTGCTGGAATCGAAATCTGGCCCACTTACTCTTGCTTCGATGAAAAAATACTGCATTGATGTCGATCTCATCGGCATCCTCATTCTCGCTACTGGAATGGCCTTGTTTCTGCTTTCCTTTTCCATCTACTCATACCAGGCTGAGCAGTGGCGAGCGCCGATTATCATTGCCTTCATCATCGTTGGTGCCCTTCTCATCATCGCGTTTGTCTTCTACGAGGCGTACCTGGCTCCTGTCAAATTTGTGCCGGTGAACCTTCTCATGGATCGGACAGTATTCTTCGCAGGACTCATGTTCCTTTTTGTCTTCGCCAACTCGGCCATCTGGGGCGGCTATTTCAGTTCTATGCTGCTGGTTGTCTGGAATACTGGTATTACCAAAGCCACTTACATTGGAAACATTTACCGCGTCGGCTCTTGTTTCGCGGCTCTCGTTCTTGGTTACTTCATCCGCTTGTCTGGGAGGTTCAAGTGGTCCGCAACTTTGTATGCCCTTCCTCTCATGCTCCTAGGAGTCGGTCTCATGATCCATTTTCGACAGCCTGACCAGAGCATTGGCTACGTTATCATGACACAAATCTTCGTTGCCTTTGCTGGTGGTCCCATGGTCGTCGCTGGAGAAATGGCCATGATGGCTCCTTCAGACCACCAACATGTCGCTGTTATTATGGCTATTCTCGACTTATTCTCAAGCATTGGCAGCGCCCTTGGATCAACTATTGCTGCCGCCATCTGGACAGGTACATTCAAAAAGAACCTGATCAAAAATCTTCCAGCCGATGCCCCGGTCGACGCAATCTTCAGCAGCATCTACACCCAACTTGGATACCCTGAAGGCACAGCAATCCGACACGGGATTTCCCTTGCGTATGGAGAGTCTCAACGTCTCATGCTTATCACCAGCGTATGCTTCATAGTGATTGGCTGGGGCTGTACTTGGATGTGGCGAGATATTAAGCTTCGTGATGTTAAACAGACTCGTGGCAACGTCATCTAATCATCGAGTATAGATATAACTACGCCGCCCCATATATACAATATCACAACAACTTCCAAAATCAACATAGCCACTCATCGAACTGAAATGATGGACTCCCATAAAATATATTATATGTTGATACTTCTAGCGATACAACAATGAACGTACATACCTGTATTCATGCTGCTAGCGTCGGCACAAAGTCTCCCATTGGTCTATTGCATCTGCCTACATCTACCTACATGTATGCAGTGATAAGTCGTATCTTAGGTACGTGTGCATGTATCTGGTAGCCTTGATGCCCGACAATTGTGCCCAAATACTACATATATACATATAACTATGTAGCTATCTACCATCTTCCGTTCAAGCCGCCATTCTTTATTCCCATCACTCCAGCACTGTCGATCCAGTACATTACGATGACAAACAAATTTATCAATGTAAGTCTCAAAACTATCATATTATCGCCGCTCCGGACAATTCTAACGATTTTGTGCTTTAGAAAGCGGCGAGAGAAGCAGTGAAAGAAGCGGTAAAAGCTTCACGCCGGAATATAAACCCGAGCAGCTCAAAAAGCGTTCAAAACACGACCGGAATCACGATTAAAACATTCCGCGAGTCAGATGAGACTACCTGGAGCTATGGATCAAATCATGTGGATGGCGCTTCAAGGTTCATCACTGTGAGCGGCCTTCTAGCACATACAAATGCCGAATTCTCTCTTGTGGAATGGCGGGACTTGGATTGGCATAATGTCGACGGTCGACTTCCCAAATATATCGCTCTATCGCACACTTGGAGCTCTTCCCCGGAAGTCATGCGACTTAGCAAGATTGCAAATCGACCTCTAGATATTGACATCGGCGAGACGTCCCCATCTACAATCAGTTGGCATGGCCTGCGTCAAGCAGCGCTTGCCGCTCGACATTTGGAATGTGACCTACTGTGGCTTGATTTCATCTGTATTGATCAAAACTCTCCAGACGACAAAAACCTCCAGGTTCCCAACATGGGTAACATATACAAGAATGCGACTGCAGTCATAGTCATGCCTGGTGGCGTTTCTGCAGCTCAAGATTTCGAGATTGAGACTGAATGGGCAACTCGAGCTTGGACAGTTCAAGAAGCAGCTCTGTGTCCCAAGACATATGTGCTGGGCATGGATTATGTGTGGTCACTCATGCGAAAAGTTGATGACTATCGTTTTAAGGTGTGTACCTCGGGCGCCTACTCAACTTTTGACTACGTTGAGGATAGTCTTGCATTGGGAGATCTACGAGGCATGCTGGAGAATATCCAAGGTAGTGCTGATGTTCATATCACCAACATGAACACAGGCAAAGTTGTCCGAAAGGGGACGTGGGTGTTGAAATGTCTCGGCGATGGCGCAGTTGTTTGGGCTTTCGCAGCCCTTTTATTGGCTACAACGCCCGCCATGAGGCAAGTTGGTATTTGGCGGAGTTTATGGTTGCGAAAGTCAAAATATCCCCAGGATACAGTGTATAGCATGATGCATTTGCTGGGTGTTCAAATCGAGGTCGATTACAACCGCAGTAGAGAAGACCTCATTGCTGAGGTTGTGAGGAAGACATCGACCTCATTCCCGTCGTGGCTGGATATTATGAAACACGACGCGCCCCGCGAACTTCGACAGAGGCTGTTTCCTACCATCCCGACCTTTGATGTCCAGCAAACCCCGATATTCACACTCGAAACGCAGCCCGTTGCTGTTGAAAAGTATATCTTGACTATGACGTACATGAAGTCATTCAATATCAAGATTCTGATTCCTGCAGCTGCTTCTGCGGACAATGGCGATCTTGTGTGTACAGAAATCTTTGAGATTCAAAACAACCGAGCCAATGAGCCCTTAGTTATCAATGGCTATGGGGAAGCATATCACTGGAGTTTATCAAACGCCGACTCAACTCACGTCATGCTCATAGGGGCCGAGGACTGCATTTTTTTCTCCGATGGGCGCTTTCAACACCTAGCCGCATATGAAATTGGGAAATCCAAGAGTGGCGCCTGGGAATGTTTCCCAAGAGATGGTGGTGTGCCTGAAGATTTTGTGGGCAAAACAAGAAGAAGTCATTTGCTGATAGGGGGATCTCCGGGATCAAAAATAACCGAGTGTGATTGCGCCGATGGTGATTGATATCAAGACTTTATGACTATTCTACCGTGCACTTGAATAAGCGAAGTCGGAATTCTGGTCATGGAAAATACAAGAAGTCGCGTTGGAACGGCCACAATACTGAAAGCCACTAGCAGCAGCCAGATGCATAAGCTTATATTTCGCAATTTTATCATATTATCTCCGCTCTGGTTATCAATTAAGCTACTCTGTCGTTAAACCTGTAATAAATAGTCCAAGGGCTATGATAAGAGAGTGACAGGCCAACATCCCAGCATAAGTACCTAGTATCCTCGTTTCGTCTACAGAAATGTCAAAGACTAATCAATCATGGCTAATTATACCCGACATGTATTTAAATAGCATGGGAAATCGGACGTAGTAGTCGCAATTATACATTGATTCAAACCAAGAGATATTGTTAGGAATTGTTGAAGATTTTGCCGTTAATGGTGAAGATACTATTTGTGTATACTCTCCCAATGCGGTTAATAGTCACTGGCGTTTTGGATGCCAGTTTCGAGTACTATGATTTAACACATAAACTAGTGCCAATAAAGACTATGCTTAAAAATTACAATAAAAGAAAGGAGTTCATTGCAATTTTACCTTCTATTGATGGAACTGCAGATGTTAGCTCTAGCTTATAGGACGGTCAACTACCAATGATGATTTCATGGTGGTAAGCAATGAACGAGGTAACTACCTAGGTAGCCTAAGCACCGAAATTCACCGTCACGCAATGTAAACGATGTAAGCGTTACCAGAAAGCAAGAGTAAAAAGTGCATTCTAATCTTAGTCTGTGATCAACAACTGGCTATCTTAGCTATCTAAACGAGCGTAAGAAGTGAACTTATATATCCAGTTGATTAGGCCGGATTATTCGTAGATTCCAAGGATCTATCGTCGATCATCTCGCTCATCTTTGCGACCATAAGGGGCGGGTCGCAACACCAGCAGTCAGACCAACAATTATCAGCCTATACAACTGCTTTAATCACCTCCACCATCACAGTTAGCATTCCAGCACTCCGAATACCCATTATAGGTATTATCCCAAGAATACTGAAGGGATCCGGTGTTAGTCCACTGTCCATTTTCCTGCATACAGACGCACGAATCCCAAATCTGATCTCCAGAAACTTGCTCATAGACTGCGTCATATGCATCCTTAAACCCTTGTTGGTCTCCCGAATCATCGAGACCCATGTCCCATCCCAAGGCTGAATTCTCGTTCGGTGCGTATGAGTCAAAGCCGTAGTATAATGCTCCAGCGCCACCATCTGCTGACTCTCCCGAGTTGTCATCCTCATCGCAGTACCCTACCTCCCAGGCAGGTACATCGTTTTCTGGAGGTTCAAAGGTTGCAACTGATGGTCCTCCATTGCACCAAGTTCTTTGGTCGGTGGGATTCTGACGCTTTCTCAACATCATCTCGCGTTTGCGGATAGACTTTCCTGTGAGATCGATTCCAACATGGGTCGTCATACGACTGGCGTTTGTTGGGTGTGGTTGATGGAAAAATGTCATCGGCATGGCTATGCCACCACGCGATCCATCGTAATAGTAGGAGCCCGGGTGGGTGATGTTAGCTCCGTAAAATTCCGCCCATGTCAAATTCCTGCTCTCATAGCCATGGAGCATGCCGGGCATTTCTGAATGCCAGTCAAAACCAGATGAAGCATTGGTACTGCGTTTAGAAAGTCCGTCCATCTCGAATTGATATCCACTGCCTGTTTGCCATACTTGATAGTCATTAAACGAAGGAGTTTGCGTAACAGCCGTTTGGGGAGTGTTCCAAGCTTGCCAAAGGTTCGATCCACCGCCCATTGCTGTTAAGATGCTGGCTCCGATACACACAGGCCGTCCGACAGAGTGTTGGTTAAACTGATTGGTGACTTGGCATGCCGCATTGAAGAGTTGGCCAGCGAATGAGATTCCTGAAAACCAAAGAGCCGCATTGGCAAAAAGAGCACCAAAAAATCGCTTTTGGTTACTGGTGTTCAATCTTGTCATGCCTTTGGTCACACAAGAGCCACTCTTTGCAGTGATATTTCCGTAAACGTGCCCGTACTTCAAAGCCTGCGTGTAATTGGCTCTAAGGAAGCGTCCATGGCTCAACATTTGGTATGTTTCGTTATGGCATTCGATGCCAGCCATGGCGGCTTTATGCACATAATATGCTGAAACATGCTCTGATGTTGCACTGCCCACGAGGTTTGTCTCTTTTTCAAAAGCAGCCAGGGCATCAAACAGAGAAGCTCCCTCGGGGTATTGTTCAAATGCATCTTCCGGGGTCGTAATGTTGTACAAAGTCGTAATATTCAGGAAGTTGTCAAACGCCGTTGCGTTAAGTCCAATGGCAGTAGAGTTCACTACCAAGGTGTCATTGACGAGTGAATTTGCAGGTGTGGCTGTAGGTGTAGTCATAGCGGTGCGTGGTGCAAGTAGCAGTGTCACTACAAGTGGCACTGCTTTGGAAACGAAACCCATTATGTGCAATGGTATATATTCAAATACCGGAAGTATACCATTCACTTAGTGTATTGAGAGTCAGCTTACTCCGTTGTAAGTGCCGATGCTCCTTTTCAGATTCTTTTTTCCATGATGCCTCGCAGTGTGACTTTATATTGATTTTTGGAGCCCACTTGTAGTCCATTGACCACATTTACCTATGTTCTTACTAATGAGTGATTAATTCGTTTCGATGAAAAGAACATCTCTTGATTCCATACAAATCACCAGATGAATCAAAAGAATTATCTCTTGATTCCACAAAAATCATCAGATCAAGAAAATAAACAAAGTATCGGCAAAAAATCACCCCACCCCAATTGCAGTAACCCATCGGTAAACGAGATTCAATATTTCGGTCTTGTAAAACCTGATGTTCTAGGCCCATATTCCTATTGTTATTACAAATATTTTACATTTTGATAGAGGCCAGTGACGTCAAAGAAGCCATTTTTCTACAGAGTTTCTTTCCCTATCAATAACTTGGTTGATACATTCTTTTGCTATTGGTGTAAGAATAAAAGCAATTGTTCGAGAAAAATGTTCCGTTATCATTCCGTAAATAAATTCCACTACCTTTGAACCCTGCTTCAGAGGCACTATCTGGGATAAATTCTTGATTCTTTGATGATTGGTTGTTGTATACGGATCAAGCGGCATTCGAAGCGATATTACCCCTGTTTAACAGGAACTATTATCCAGCTAAGCTAGGCAGTACTATTAAGGTACCCATCAGCTCCACCCTTCGTGCTTACCGCAACCTTTAACTAAGTTGTTCTAGAATGGACGGCAAAGAAATGCCGACGAGTATAAAGCAGAAAGAAGACTGATAACAGAAGGCCTATACCGGCTAAGGAAGCACGTTAGATTAAGTCAGATTTTAAGATATTACAAAGAGCTTATGAGAGAGGACTGCCTAAAGATTCCGTCGAATTACATTAACCCTCAAGATCTTGAATGACGAGAAGAACATTGATCATTTGATCAGCTACAGGTGCCCTGGGGTCGGAAAAGATTGGGATACGCGACGGATACCCCTGCCAATTGGGCAGCAACTCGGGTAAAACTGCGTGCGATTGCGCTAACTGCGATCAAACTTGAAATTATATCAGTGCTTTATCACATCTCAAATGAATCAGAAAAATGATAGCGAGCCTTGCTCATAAAAAATTTACCAAAAAAGTTACTTTGCATCTGGATTGGGAGCCATTCTATGGAGAACCCTATTTAAGAGGCAAATACATAAGTCGCATATATACCAATCGTATATCTTGTATCTCGCTACTCTTACATTTCGAATACCAGGCATTTTCGGTTTATATTGACTTGGCGGAAGCTGCTAGAAAACCCATGAAAAATCACGATGTTACTCGCCTAGCTATGTAGTTGACAGGTAAGATGGTGAAAAATGGTGGTCCGGTAACCCAATTGATAAAACTTCTTTAAAATTGCTGGCCATATCTACAGCAGCTTTCATGTACCTGCCAATCACATATTCGAGTATAGAAAACTAGCGATGGCGCCAGGAATCAATATATACCAATAGATAGCCTTAGCAATTATTGCAGCTCTTCCACGAAGATTTCCTTTTCGTGTATCACTCCGCATCTTTGGCAGTTGATAACACTGGTGTCTTTTAGACAAATTTTGAGGTACTGGCTAGGTACGCAGTTGCCTATGGCCGTATTATATGTTGGAATTACGATCAGATAGATCATTTGCGGTATTTATATAATGCTGATTACATTTCTTTAAGTTGAACAAATGATTGACAAGTTGTGAAACATGATTCTAATTTATGGCTTTTCAGACCAGTTGCAATTAATGACTCCACAAAATGTTCAACGGCCACTTATACGTATAAATTTCGTCTTGAATCTTCATTGCTCACACCAGTCCGGGGCGTTCTAGCTTGCTCGACATTTATTCGCTCTTCATCTTCCTTTCTCTGATACTTGTTCCAGCTGGAGGTTTCGCTTTTAAATCAAATGAAAAAAAAAACCCCCATTTGTAGTGATTCCAGAGGGTTGCCTCCACATTTTAGGTCTGTAACATAAGATTTGATTCTCAGCATAGGGTAGTATCATATACGAAGATTCTTTTCCTATGTTCGCGGCAATCGGACTTTCACTGCTGCCTAGTTTGATGATAAATTGGCTTCCCCCAATACTCGCATCATATCATTGGCTATTGATCATGTGATGGTGCGTTCTGTATCGGACACGAAATCCTCCAAGTATAAGCCGCAAGGCTGAGCTCTACTGCAACATGTGATTCGTTCCTTTTGCTTGATGCCCAATTTGACCCAGTCCAACAAGTCTTCATTTTTCTCTATGAAAATATTTCAACGTTCATTTGGTATGACTGAAGAGCCTATCTCATGCATCTCTCTGAGAAACAAGATTGTTAGCATTTTTGTACCCAATATGCGATAAATCTCTTAGGACTCGTCTCAGAAAATATAATCAAGTATCCACCTACATAAACCATTCGGCAAAAGATGAAGCGGGTCCTCACCTTTGGCAACCATCACGACGCCGCAATCGGCGGGGAAAAGAGACTGAAGACACCCATTAGCGACCGGGATTTGCCAGATATTAGTCTTCAACGGAAAACGACTGCCGAATATACCATTGGATGGATATGTGCCGTGACCACAGAGTATGTGGCTGCACAAGTCATCCTTGATGAAATACACGAGGGACCAGAACAGGTCTCTCACGCCAACCAGAGCGATTACACGCTTGGCCGCATCGGAAAGCACAATGCCGTTATTGCTACTTTGCCATATGGAGAATATGGGACAGCTTCAGCAGCGACTATTGCGGCAGACATGTCGCATAATTTCCCCAACGTCAAGATTCGCCTAATGGTTGGCATTGGAGGCGGCGCGCCCAGCAAACGAAACGATATTCGCTTGGGCGACATTGTCGTCAGCGCTCCTAGTAATGGTAAGGGTGGTGTTTTGCAATACGACTTTGGCAAGACTATTCAAGATCAACCCTTTCAGCCAACGCGATTTCTCGATCAGCCACCCATGGTCCTAAGAACCGCGATGAGTGGTTTGGCAGCGCAATATGAACGCGAAGGGCATTGCATTGAGCAGACCATCAATGACATTGTGGGAAAGATTCCAAGACTACAGGAAAAATACAGCCGACCCCATGAGAGCACTGATAGGCTATACTGCAGTACATTCGTTCATCCCCCGGACAATGACCTCGATTGTGAGACACACTGTGACGGCAGCTCATTGATCACCCGACCAAAACGAACACAAGAGAGAAGTGGCTCGAATATTCACTATGGACAGATTGCTTCTGCAAATCGATTAATGAAAGACGCTATAGTCCGAGATGAATTGTCTTCAAAATATGATATAATGTGCTTTGAGATGGAAGCCGGCGGCCTCATGAATCAGTTTCCCTGCTTGGTCATTCGAGGTATATGCGACTACTCAGACTCACATAAGAATAAAGCGTGGCAGGGTTATGCCGCGATGGCAGCCGCAGTGTATGCAAAAGACCTTATCAACCGACTCCCCTCAATTGACTCGAGCGCTCTACAAAGCACAAACAACTCATCCTCAAGTCAACTTCACCTACAAGAAGAAAGGCCACATATAGTCACCGCCGAGCAGATGAATGCACTACTAGAGTCTCTACGGTTTGATCAAATTGAGGCTCGTCAAATGACCATTAAAAACGCTCACGCCAAGACATGTCGGTGGCTGCTGTACAAGTCTGAATACATCAACTGGTTAGACACAACCAAAATTAACGAGCACCGTGGATTTCTATGGATTAAAGGCAAGCCTGGAACTGGAAAGTCAACGCTTATGAAATTCGCTCTTAACAGCGCAAAGAAAACAATGAGAGACAAAACCATCATCAACTTTTTCTTTAATGCACGAGGTGAAGACTTGGAGAAATCCACTATTGGAATGTATCGGTCACTTTTATTACAACTTCTCGAAAAGCTACCAGAGCTGAGAAATGTCCTTGAATTACCTACATTGACAGCACGACCTGGCGGAGAGTATCGCTGGACCACGGAAATATTGACGAATTTATTGGATCAAGCTATTCAAAGCCTCAAAGAATCGAGTATTGTCTGTTTCATTGATGCTTTGGATGAATGCGACGAGAACCAAATTCGCAATATGATCAAGTTTTTTGAACGCGTTGGTGAATCACCTACAGCTGGAAATTTTCGTGTCTGCTTTTCGAGTCGTCATTACCCTCATGTCTCAATTTCGAAAGGGATAAATCTGATCCTCGAAGGCCAGGCAGAACACACCCAAGACATGATTAGCTATGTCGATAGCGAACTGAAGATTGGGAATAGTGCCCTTGCGAACCAAATCCGCGCCGAACTTCAAGAAAAATCCTCGGGTGTCTTTATGTGGGTTGTTCTGGTTGTTAATATTCTGAACAAGGAACACGATAAAGGCCGAATTCATGTCCTAAGGAAAAGACTACAAGAGATCCCTGCAGATCTCCATGAATTATTCCGCGACATTTTAACTCGCGATCGACAGGATGCTGATGAGTTGCTCCTCTGTATTCAGTGGGTGCTTTTCACGAAACAACCTTTGCGGCCGGAACAATTATACTTTGCCATGCTATCCAACGTTCTATATAAGTGGAACCCGAATGAAATTTGTCAGAGACAGCGGCGTGCGAGAGAGTAATAAAGTTAAGGAGAGGTTCTAGTCGTTACAAAGGGAGGAAGTAGCTAGGAGGCATATAATAACTGTATTTATCTCTAACCTCCTCTAAAACCAAGGGGATTTACGCTCCTTTATATAGTAAATCCTAGCTATAACTAGCCTTTAAGCAGTAACTTTAGCAGCATTCGCCAGCTCTATAGCTCCATTATGCCTCTTCCTTCCTTAGACCCTTAACAGGCTACCCTTCCTTTTTTAAAACACGCCCTTGTGCAGTTCCTTACGATCTTCTTTTATACTTTTTTATAAAGTATTATTAAGGTATTAGCCCTAACTCCTTACTACATAGGCTATAGTAAAATTTAGCTATAAACAGAAGACCTTTATTTAGCGTTATAATAATAAAGGGCGCAGTCCCTAAGTAAATAAAGGCAGAAGGCTACGTAAAAGCTATTTATTATAAAATAACTTACCCTTTATAATAATAGTTCTATAGGGCAGGTTTATAATTATTAGTTATAGTACTTAAATTATAAAAAGGGGTATTTCCCTCTTCCTTCCTATAGGGTCCTTAACTACTACTATTACAATTATATCCTTCTTCCCTTATTAATAATTCCGCTGTAATATTCCTCCTAACTATACCTTATTAAAAGCTAGCACTAAGTGCCGCAGTAATAACTACAGCTGCAGCCGCGCCTACGCCTACGCCTCCCCCTATTACACTACCAGAGGCTAATAAGTAAGTTATACCTTATCCTAGCCCCTTTTCTCTTTACTAAAACCTAATATAGGCCCTATACTTATAAATATTATATATACTATTATAACTATTAAAAGCTAGGTAATATTATAAAATATTATTATAATATATTAAGTACGTAGCTTTATCCCCTAAGTTTATTTTACTAAGACCCTGCTTACTCCCTCCTAGATAGTAGTAATAAATACTTTTATTATAATAGTTATAATAGTACCTGCATTCCTATACTAGTTGCTAATAGGGCTATGTATATAGACCTGATTAATGAGATTAAGTCTAATAACCCCGACTTAGTAAGCTGATTTTATAATAGCCGCGTGGTGGGTGCTAATATACGCCTAGGCCCGCGTTACCACGCTTTAAGTAAATTATAAGAAGGCCTATAATAGGGCAAGGCTGGGTCCTGCCTTAGCGACTTCTGCTTATTAGACCCGTGCTGCGGCAGTAGTATAACAACCCCGTTTACGCCGTGCTCGTGAGATTATAGGTGCCCAGGTTTAACTAAATATTACAAATTTATTATATAACCTCTAGGCCACGCTCGCGTTCTATATCTTAATTTATTCTTTTTAACTTTGTTAGGTTGCCCTTTGCTAACTTCCTTTATAATCCTAGCTTATACTTAGCTAAGCTTAGGGTATTATCTCCGTTGCTGCAACTTAGGACTGTTTTAATTCCTAGGCTAATATATTATAGGCTAAGGCTACCCTTATTACTAATAATACTACTATAGGTAATACTAATAAGTAAGGTATACTCTATAACCCCTTTACTTTTATAGTATTTTAATGTAATATTTAGTAACTATAGTATTTACTAATAACTTTAGTAGGGGAAGGTAAAAGGGATTAAAAAGGAGTAGAAGGGATTAAAGAAAGTAAATAAAAGTAAGAGGAATTAAAAAGGAGTAGTAGGAAGTAAATAAATATAAATAAGGAATTTTTTATATTTTCGCAGGGTTCTCCCTCTTTATAAAATTTATATTCCTACTTAGGGTTTTTTTTAACTTTTTCCTACTTCCTTTTATTATTAAGGCTTTATAAATAAATCTTATATATCTAAGTAAGTTCTTTAAGCTAGTACTTGTGTATTATACTGTATACTATTATAGGTTATATTTACTAAGCTTCTTATTATCTAAGCTGCTCTAGGGCCCTTATAGCTTTTTCCTTACTTTATCTTTTACCACAGCAGGCTTTATAAGCAGATCTTATATATCTAAGTAAGTTCTTTAAGCTAGTACTTACGTATTATACCGCTGACTGTTATAACTTATGCTTACCAAGCTTTTTACTATCTTAGCAGCTTTAGGGAGCTTACAGGTTCTTCCTTACTTTATCTCTTATAGTAGGTCTTATATATTTATATAAGCCCTTTAAGCTAGTACTTATATATTATATTACTAACTATTATAACTTATACTTACTAAGCTTCTTACTATCTTAGTAGCTTTAGGGATTTTATAGGTTTTTCTTTACTTTATCTCTTATAGTAGATCTTATATATTTAAGTAAGTCCTTTAAGCTAGTCCTCGCCTTAGCTATATTACTATCTGTAGATTATATTTACTAAGCTTCTTACTATTTAAGCTACTCTAGGAACCTTGCGGATTCCTTCTTACTTTATCTCTTACCGTAGATCTTATATATCTACATAAGCCCTTTAAGTTAGTCCTTGCCTTAGCTATATACCTTTGTAGATTATATTCGCCAAGCTTCTTACTATCTTAGCTACCTTAGGGAGCTTATAAGTTCTTCCTTACTTCTCGCAGTAGATCTTATATATCTATATAAGACCTTTAAGCTAATACTTATATATTATACTTACTAAGCTTCTTATTATCTAAACTACTCCTAACACAGCTAGGGTATTATCTATACCTTAGGACTTCGCAAGGTCCTATTAAAGGTTATTTTTATATTCCTTTATAAAGTTCTAGTCTATAAAGTCCTTCCTTAGTACCTAGGAATTATATTCTTTACTATAGCCTTTCTATTTTATATAATAAATATAGCCCCTTTCTCTTTTCTTATATTTTATAATTTTCTTAATATTATATATCTTTTTTAATATAAAAGGGTTATCCTCTAGCTCCTTAGGAACTTTATTCCTACTTTTAAATTCCTTAAGGACTATAATATTAAATACTAAGTATATTTTAACTAAGGTTAAAAGTCTTAGCTAATAAGTAAGGCTGCTTATATTAATAACTTTATTAATTTAGTAAAGTCTTATATATCTAAGTATTAGTTTTTAACTTAGTTTCCTAAGTCTAAAGTTCTTAGTTAATACTAATACCTAATCTTCTATATTAAATACCTTTCTTTATTTTCCCTTATTATACTATTTATAATATAAGTTACTAAAGTATTATAAAGTAGCAGCTGCGTTTTCTTAGTCCTTAACTATCTTATTAACTTAATTAATAGTATTTTTATTTATATATTATAGGTTATTATTATTAATAGAAGAGGGGTTAGGTTTATAGCCTAACAGTAAGTACACTAATATCTGCCTAGTTACTAAATATTTTACTATATTATATATAAACTCTGCGAGCAGGAGCTTATATAGCTAGTTAAGCTAATTCTTATTATAAAAGGCCCTAAGATAGTATTTAAGGTTTTAATTTTATTACTCTATCTAGCTATTTATCTAAGAGTAAAAGGTAGTGCTAAGTCTCCTTTTATAACCTAGTAGGTAGTAGAAGGTCCTCTAGAATACACTAGTAAAAAGGCTTCCTTAATCTAATATTATTCCTTTAGAAATTCCATAAGGCTTAAAAATATAGTAAAGGAACTTATTAACTAAACTATCTATAGTTATTTACTATAAGCACGGGAGGTATAATATATATTTTATAAATTTATTAATAATAATAAGTATTAAGTTATAGGTTTTTCCTTTTTTTATAATCTCTAGGAGCCCTATGATAAAGTTTATTAAAAGCTCCTCCTATAGCTGTGTTAGTATAAGTAATACTACTAATTCCCTATAAGGTTTATAATAACAGGGCTTTATTATTTAATATATATAATAAGTATTAATATATTTCTTTAGATCTCTCTTTATACCTTGCCAAAAATAGGTCCAGGCTATCTATATATAGCTCTTGCTAATGCCTAAGTAACCAGCTGTTTTATTATTATAGAACAGGGTTAATATCTCTTACCTTATACTATAAAGTATAAAGATTCTAGCCCTATAACAGAGGAGATATTTCTTATTTATACTCTATCTGCTGTAAGTCCTCCCTAGGGCTTTATATTTAACTATTAACTCTTATACTTAGGCATTCCCTTATTATATAATAAGTAATACCTTTTATAAGGTTTTAGGTAATTTCTTTAATATTATAATAGCACTCCTGTGTATTATTTACGTAAATCTAGCTAGCCTATAGGTTATATACTAAAGGCAGGGCTTATTTCTTAGCAAGTTTTTCCTAGCTTAAGGGGTTAAGTTAAAGTATAACCTTAAGTTTAAGTAGTTATCCTATATTATTAATCTAAGGCAGGGTCCCTTTCCCTATATCCTTCTGTTTTTTAAGTATAGTTTAATATAAAATCTATTTATAAAAGGTATAAGATATTTAAGAGATAATTACTCTTTATTTTATAACTAATATAAGTTTACCTAATAGAATAATCTATTAGCGGAATTAGCCTTACTTAGTCTATATATAATTTTAAAATTATATAAGGCTAGCTTCTGTAGCTATAATACTTACTTACTTAAGAGCTTTTTTTTCTTAGCGAGGAAACTATAATTTAAATAGTTAATAATAACTTCTACCTTATTTTAGGTATACGTAAAATAATATCTTTAAGTCCTATATATTTCTGTAATAGTAAGTATCTTAGTATTAGGGGTCTAATAGTATGCCTCTGCCTTGCTAAGCTTTTGCAAGAGATAAGCAATAGGGTGCCAGGCTTTATCTATAAGCTAAGATAATATAGTATTAATTATATATTTTAAGGTATCTGTTTTAATATAAATTAGTGTATTAGGGTTATAGTAATAAAGTATAGGTTCTTATTAGAAGGTATTAATAAGTTTTTTAAATACTACTAACCCCTATTCTCCTAGCGTAATATTCCCCTTAGCCCTTCCCTTTATTAAATTAGTTAAGGGTACTGTAATTTTATTATAGTTTTTTATAAATTTTTAATAAAAATTAGTAAAGCTAATAAAAGTAAAAATATTAGTAATAGTATATAAAATAGGCTAATTAATAATTACCTTTATATGCTCCTTCTCT